ATGCACATTCTAATGCAAATTGAATGGGTGGCTTATGTATGACAGTCACAAGTAGTAAAGCACAAAGAACCCAGGAACATCTGGAGGAAGCCAGGAAGCAAGGAAGCAGGCTGTGTAGTTAAGAGACTGGCACACACACACACCAGCCAGATCAAGTGTTATTTAAACAAACAAACAAACAAAAAAACCTGCAACGTCTAACAAGGCGCAAGGGTCACAGAGACCAAGGGGCAGAGCAGGCTAATCAGGATCTCTTATAAGGGGTGAGATCAACCATTAAATGCACAGTTGAGGAATCCACCAAGTTAAAGAAACACACTGCATGTTAGTAAGAAACTGAGACAGGATGAGCCTGATTCCAATGAGATGCAAAGAAGGCCTGACTTTAGGAAGAAGAAATGAACTTTATGAAATAGAAGACAAAATAATTGTGGGGCAAGATTCCAGGGATGAATTAACTATGCACTCCTGATATGGAGTATTTGTGTCCCCTATCCCAAATTCCTATCTTTAAATCTCATCGTCTAATGTAATGGTATTGGATGGTGGCATCTTTGGAAAGTAACTACATCATCAGAGCAGGCTATCAGGAATGGAGTGAATATCCAAAGCACCTACCTGTGGCTAGCTCTGAAAACCAGTGTCCAGCATTTAGGCGGCAGGAGGGGTAAGACCACTAACAAACTAGTCAGAGAAATGTCCTTTGACTCCTTAGGGGAACCGCATTACGTCCTCCCGTGGCCAAGGTCTAAACTTCTGCCATCATCCAGGACAACTACCCCTGTCCACCACACTATGAGGGGGAAGGGCAAGCAAGACAGGACACTGAAGGTGGTGCAGAAATGAGTACTAAAACTCATTTATAATCCTGTCGCGCCACCTGGCGACCAGTATGGGCATGGCCATGAAAGAAGCACTACCATAGATTGTTTCGTCTTAGATTGCCATTTCACCAACAATGGGATTTCCCAACAATCGTTGCGACCTCATCTTGAAGGTTGTGGAAATGGCCTGTGCGCAGACATACTGAAGACATCTGCACACTTGTCTAAGCGTGCATGATACGGGGCACGAAAGTACAGGAGCACGAACACACACAGCAAGCTCCCAAGTCTCAAATGCCAATATGCTGGCAGTATCTGTGAGAACAGTTCAAACACAGGAGCTAATGGTTCTCTATTTGCTAACTCCATGGGAGCCAATGGCTTCTCCCTCTTCCACCTCATCCATTCATGCACAAAGGTTGCCAAATATACCATAAGACCTTTAGCACTGTAGAAAACACAGTTGGAAAACATGAGTGTAACAGCAGAGAAATCTTCCACCTTCTTAGAGTGTGTGAGGAAGATGTTAAGTATAATCCATCAAGATTGTAACAGGTAATTTACAGACAGCAGATGTGAATCTGCATTAGCCATTAGCAAAAACTATAAAGACATACAGTGGGATCCAAAAACGATCCTGACAGCCTCTTAACAGGAGGTCATATGCACAGAGCAGAGGGGGACCCCAGAGTGGAGCAGGAGGACAGGAGGAGGCTTGTATCCCAAACCTGGAGACTGCCATATCCTCACCAAGGACTATCAGTACGGGCACCAACTGCCAAGGAGACCACAGGGAATTGGAGTGCCCTTGTAGGCTGAGAACTCTGAGGTCAACCATTCCCTATCGGACCTCCCACGCAGGATGGAAGAAGCCCAGATGCTTCCTCACAGGATCTAATGTCATCAGAAAAACAGCCAGAAACCCTGAGCAGTCCTCAGAAACAGAAGAACAGTAAACTTCCTTCGGGACCTGGGAGAGGAGCTTTCACTGGTCCTTACTTAGTTCCAATTTTGGGTCCCCACCCTCCCTTGCAATGATCATCAGGGTCACTCTGGAGCTCCCAAAATTAGATCAGATAGACAGAGAGCAAGGAGAAGTGAAGATTTCTCTGCACGCCCCTCCTAAAACTGTTCTGCTCCTCAATCCTTAACATATGGCTTGTTAGGGCCTGGTGCAATAGTGTAGTGGCTAAAGTCCTTGGCTTACACGTGCCCAGGATCCCATATGGTCCCCGGTTCTAGTCCCGGCAGCCCCGCTTCCCATCCAGCTCCCTGCCTGTGGCCTGGGAAAGCAGTGGAGGACGGCCCAAAGCCTTGGGACCCTGCACCTGTGTTGGAGACGCAGGAGAGCCCCTGGCTCCTGGCTTCGGATTGGCCAATCTCCAGAGAAGGCTGGAACTACCTGAACTCCAATCATGTCCAAGTGTGTCTGGGCTCCTGGACTCCGCATGCCACCAGTTGTAGCAGCTGTGTTGGGGATGCTTACTTGCCACAGAGGTGAAAATGTCGTGGGGCCATCACATTGCAGGCCTCTGTGGCAGAGGTGACCACTGGGTAGTCTAGAGCAGAACAGACACTTGAAATCAGCTCTCCTCCTGTAAGAGACAGGAGCAGAGTCTAGGTAGGACGGAGACCCCTGAGGGTCACACCACTCCCACCCTCAGTATTCTCCAGAGAGTAATGTAAACTTTTTTCTTTCCCCCTTCCCCTGACCTGCTCAAACAGATTCACCATCCCAGGCCCATTTCCTTCTCAGAGTGGGTGGGACAAGAAAGCACACTCAACGCCACCAAGGGCTCTGCTCAGTGAGACATTTTCTGAGAGCCACAGCTTTTGTGTTGCTATCAGCCTTTTTTGTCCATGGGTTCCATCAAAACTTGGATTTTTGGAGAGTGCACATCAATTGATAGGAAGAATGATGACTCAATAGTTTGCAGGCTGCCTTAATGAGAAGATGGTAAAACTGTAGACAAATATGTTCTTATGTGCATCTGTGGCACCTCTGAGAGATGCGCAATCATGCTTGCTGACAAGGAGGGGGCAAAGAACCAGGACTGTTCACATGTAAGAAAGGTTCATCACAAGACAATTAAAGTAGTTACATCTATTTTGGGGGCTGACAATATGAGAAAGATCAGAGACCACCAGTGGGCAACAGAGGGAATTAGCTTTAACTCAGTTGAAGAATTCATTTTTTTTAAAGATTTATTTATTTGTTAAAGATTTATTTTATTTTATTTTTTACTTTTTTAAGATTTATTTTAACTGGAAAGTCACATAGAGAGGAGGAGAGACAGAGAAGAAGATCTTCTGTCGATTGGTTCACTCCCCTAGTGGCTGCAACAGCCAGAGCTGCGCCAGTCTGACCAGGAGCCAGGAGCCTCTTCTGGGCCTCTCACACAGGTGCAGGGTCCCAAAGCTTTGGGCTGTCCTTGACTGCTTTCCCAGGCCACAGGCAGGGAACTGGATGGGAAGTGGAGCAGCCAGGACATAAACTGGCACCCATATAGGATCCCAGTACAAACAAGGCAAGGACTTTAGTTCCTAGAGTACCGTGCTGGACCCAGATTTATTTATTTTTATTGGAAAGGCATATTTACAGAAGGAGACAGAAAGATCTTTCATCCACTTATTCACTTGGCAAGTGGCCCAACAGCCAGAGCTGAAGTGATCTGAAGCCAGGAACTTCAATGAGGTCTCCCTCATGAGGGGCAGGGCTCAAGGACCAGGGTCATCTTTTGATGCTTTCCCTTCAGTTTTCTTACTTTGTCCTAGTACCAGTCCCACAAATAGAATTTTCAGAGACTGAGTTTCTGGTCATTGTAACTGTGCAACAATGACTAGGTACCTCAACTGTCTGCAATGATAGTGAAGAGAAGGAAGGACCCTAATGAATACAATATTCTTCATCAAGATGTACTACATCTAGTTCGTGCCAGTGTGTCCTGCAGTGTCTTGCTCCTGAGTCATGGTTATGGAAGTCACTGTGGCACAATGCAGGGCACTATCCATTTTGAGCAGAAGGGAACATGACCCATTGTATTAAAGGGGACACATAACAGAATTGGCTGAAGGTCTGCAAAATTTCATGTCCAGAAGTTTGGAGATGATAATACACAAGGCTGTATGAGTACAGGTCTTCATTCTAATCCTATAACCAAAAACCACAGGGTACCAAAATATTGAGAGGCATGTAGGTGACCTGGTATTTTGAATGCTGGCATGATGGTATTAACTGAAGAGTTTTCTGATCTCGCTCTTGGGAGACACGCACATTACTGGCCCTATGATGGTGGCTCATGAAAAAGAAGATGGCTTGCACAATGGTGGAAATGAAGAACATACAAAGACTAGAAATTCTGGAAACTGCTGGGTTATGGTATAACTGGGACAGCCTCATAAATGTTCCCTACCACATGATCTGAGCCCCAGTAACTCATGTTAGTCTGTTTGCTGCAAAAATGTAGCTTGATGAATATTAAACACCATGATATTAAAAGTTGTAATTTTGGGGCCAGCACAGCTGGTTAAGTCACCACCTGTGATGTCAGCATCCCATAAGCACACTTGTTCAACTCCCAAGTACCAGTTGCTCTGCTTCTGGTCCAGCTCCCTGTTAATGTGCCTGGGGAAAGTAGCAGAAGATGTCCCAGTTACTTAGGCCCCTCCACCCACATCGAGGAAGCACCCACAGGATGCTCCTAGCCACTGCTGCCATCTGGGAAAGGCAGCTTTATAGAGAGAAGGAGAGACAGAAAGATATTCCATCCGCTGGTTCACTCCCCAAGTGGCCACAGTGACTGGGGCTGAGCCCATCTGAAGCTAGGAGCCAGGAACTTCTTCCAGGTCTCCAACATAGTGTACAGGGTCCCAAGACTTTTTATCATCCTCTACTGCTTTTCCAGGCCACCAGCAGGGAACTGGAAGGGAAGTGGATTGCTCACTTTGGCAGCACATATACTAAAATTGGAAGTGGAGCAGCAAGGACACAAACTGGAACCCCTGTGGAATCCCAGTGCATGCAAGGCAAGAATTTAGCCACTGGGACATTGAGCTAGGCCCTAACTATGTGTTTTCTTCCACACAGAGAATGGCTTTCTTAGGAGTAAAGAGAGCACACAGCAGAATACACTGAGTTATTATGCTTTTAAAAAGGAAACCTCAGTATTGACATGTATAATATCTTATCATTTATTATAACCGTGTACATTAATATGGATTAAGCAAGTATGATTAGATACACCAAGCAATAAAAAAGAGAAAAATATAATTCAGCCATTCTTCTTCCTTAAGTCTGCTGATATATGAGCTCTTTTAGACATGTAAGAGGCTGTTTTATAGCAACATCAATTGCATCTAATTTTTGCAAGCTCTTTCAGTGTCTTGCATGCTGGTTCTGAAAACCACCTAAGGACACACTGTACCTGTGAGATGGGCAAAGCAACTTATCTTGGGTCTCTTTACCTACCTTGTAGTCCATCATCTGGGCCTGCACTCATAGGTGGTATCTTTCAACAGAGTGACTTTTCCTTCTCTCTAAATCATTCACTTAACCCCTATGTGTTAGTGCCTACCGTGTGCCAAATTCCATGTTGGGCTAGAGACCAGGGAACAGGTTCATATTCAGTGGGTGTACGTGGAGAAGGATGCCTGGGGGGAGGCCTGATGGGGCAAGATTGCCTGTCAGTTGTTAAGTATGCCCCACACAGTGCTTGGCCTATAGCAAACACTGAATCACAGCTTACTGTTGTGATTACTGCTCCAGAAAAAAACATGGGCTTCAAAGCAATTCAGCAATGGTTTTGCAGGAGACATGCCCGCCTCCCAGAGGCCCAGTGCCTCCCAGAGGCCCAGTGCCTCCCCGGGTTGCGATGAAGATTAACGCCATCCTTCCACGATAATGCGTGTGAGATGTTGTTTCTCGCCCTCCTTAGTCCTTCTAGCACATATACACCCTAGAATCCACTACAGAAGACTTCTGCATAAAACTCAGGCAGTAAGAATTTAGGCTAAAAGCATTAATATGCTATTAAAATTCAAACAGAGATCTCCATTTGGTAAGTAGCCTCCTTATTTATATCCCATAAAATATAAACCTAATTGTGCAAACTTTGTAAAACATATTCATACACCTGCAAGTAAGACTCAAATATGCTGAAACATGGGAAGAAAGCAATTAAAATCAGCCGTGTAACCCAATCAAAAGCAAGTACTTTAAAATTGAAAATTTGAAACACACATGTAGCTGGCTATATAACATATAGCAACAAACTTTTAATCCCTGGTGTCCAGTGCCTGCGATTTACCCAGCAGGGATTGTCGACCTATTCTTCAGAAGCATCAAAGGAGTCAGGAGAAATTGAACCCCTCCCTACCTTTTGCATATGCCTAACCTATCAGGAATGCTAATCTCATTAGAATGTCAATCTGCATAGAAAAACGCCAAGATGGAATTCCTATTCCATCCTTTGATCAAACCTGAAATGAGACTGTGGATGTAAAGTGCTTTCTAAGCTGGAAAAAGTATACACACGAGTAATTATTGTAATGTCATTAAGATATGATAATAGACATAAGCTAATTCAGCTTAACAATAAAATTATGAAGAAATCAAATGCAGGGAAGAAGTGCAGAAACAGGAATCAGCAACTTGGGACAGCTAAACTTGTCCGGAAGTCAGGAGTTTCTGATTAGCATGGAGGGGCTGTAAGAAAACAAGAGACACCGTGAAACTAGAAGCACACATCCAGTCATGGGGCACAGCCTCACAGCCTCATGGCATGCAGCAAGGACAGTCTCTTGGCTTTCCATTGTCATTGCTTCAAGAAAAACATCCTGGTCTTTGGGCACACCTGGGGCAGTGCCCCTGGCCATTAGCATGCCACTTTTTCTTTAGCACTTTTGATAATATGGCCTTGAGGCTTCTTTTACTAAAGTTAAGTGAGCAATGACATGCGAAGCACAACCGCACAGTAGACCTAGATCTAGATCAAATTAGAACCAGTATCCACATGGGATCCCAGCACATGCAATCTGAAGACCTTGGGAAAAGTCACTATTGCACCCTAAATTGACTAGCAATTTCTTCAAGCCTTTACCTTTTCTAAGTGTATAATTTGACACAAAATGGGGCTACCCACAGAGGCCTGGCCAGCCTCAGAAGCCAGTTGGAGGGCTCAGCTGAGGTGCTAGGTAGAAGTACTTCTTGAGTGAAAGAGTGATAATTCCTACAATTGCAGAGTCCCTGGTGGGAAGGGGGAGGAGGGGAGTTGGAGACCCAGGAACATTTCTCCTCCCTAATGAGTTTCTTGATTGCTTACCCATCAGGTGCCAGCATTGTGCTAGAAGAGCTTCTCATAACACTTCCCACAGTGGATGGTGTCATGGTGAACAAAGATCTGATCCAGGAGGTCACCCATCGGTTTACTGCAAATCCCACACTGAAAAGCAAAGTTGAACGTCAATGTGCAAATGGAAGCAGCAATGAATGAGTGGATTAGGAAGATGAGTAGGCATATGCCATGAGCTGACAGCACACCCTAGTCTTCCTGATCAAAAAAAAAAAAAAATGTTAAGAAACAAGATCAAAATTTGAACTTAAAAATCAAGACAAAATAACAACTTAAAAACCTCACAGAAACTACCTGGAACTGGTTTTCGAGTACAGCCTGGGTTTGACTCCACTACTTAGTAACCTTGGATTCAGAGACACAAGCCACATGGAGCACTCCGTCAAGCACCAGGTATAAGATAAATGGCTCAGGAAGTGTTGGCAGTCACTCTTGTTATAGAAGGCATACATGATTACTCTTAGGACTAATGGAAGCTAACGGGAAAGTCACACTAAAGGAAAGGCTATTTTAGCAATCCAGCCCCTCCAATCTTAGGACTTTCACATTTGCCTCCCCAGGAATGCCACCAGTGGACATGTCCTGCCCCCCGACACACACACACGGCTGGGAGGTGGGGCCATGGGGTCTGTGGACAGTCTTGAATAAAAGGAGCACAGGAATATCTGTGTGTCAGGATCTCCAGCCCTCTCTGTGCCTCACACTGAGCTCTCAGGGTGTCAAGAAGGCCAGAAAATGGATGCCAGGCTCCTCTGGGTCCCTTGTGATAACTTTTACCACAGCAAGATGCATGCATTCTTTTTATGTATTTTTAGAAGATTTATTTTATTTTTATTGGAAAGTCAGAAATACAGAGAGCAGGAGAGACAGAGAGTAAGATCTATCTGATGATTCACTCCACAAGTGGCCACAACAGCCAGAATTGCACCAACCTGAAGCCAGGAGCCCAGAGCCTCTTCCAGGTTTCCCACATGGATGCAGGGTCCCAAGGCTTTGGGCCGTCCTCCACTGCTTTCCCAGGCTACAAGCAGGGAATGGGATGGGAAATGGGCTGCTGGATTTGAACCAGTATCCATATGGGATCCTGGCGCATGCAAGGCAAGGACTTTAGCTGCTAGGCTACTGTGCCCAGCCCCTTTTTATGTATTTGAAAAGCAAAGCAAATTGAGTGAGCAAAAAAGATGCAGTGTGGGTGGAGAGAGGAAGATCTTCAGTTTGCTGGCTCACTCTCCAAATGTTCTCAACATCCAGGGTTGGGTCAAGCTGAAACCAGGAGGCGAAACTCTGTTCATGTCTCATATAGGAGGGGTGAGCAGGGACCCACCTACTCGAGCCATCACCTGCTGCCTTCCAGAGGGTGCACATTAGCAGGAAGCTGAATTGCATGTGGAGGTGGGATTCAATTCCAGGCACTCTGACATGGGATGTGGCATGCTAAGTTGCAGCTTAACTCACTATGCCATGACACATATACCTCCTAGCACTTTCATTTCTTACTGTAAATTAATGAGCTCTCTGACTCATGTGTTAGTAACTCTATCACGTTAGTTATTGTGACCCAGTAATTGAACCTGCACATGGTAGGCTTATGTGCTGATCCATTTATGGAGTCACTTCTAGATGCACAAAAATCAAAAGCATATGGATTTGCAAAGTATTATATGTGGTGAAGAATTAGGACCCCAAAAGGTTGCTATGATGCTACAGCCATGGAAGTCTCCTTTCTTCCTAAGTGTAATAATACAAAAAGTTATGCCAGCCTAATAAAGGTGAGAAAAATCTGCAACTAAGATAACTGAAGAAACATTTTACCCAGGTACACTGGAGCAACATGGCACCCTTCACTGGAAAGTAGCAGAATGTAGCTGAGATATCACTGGCTTTGATGTCATAATCTGGGACACACACCCTGGGCTCTCCCATTCCTTATGTGAGTCCCCATCAGTAAGCTTGAAATCACTGACTTTGAAGGCTGATGATATGGCACAGTAGGCTAAGCTTCAACCTGTGGCACCAGCATCCCATATGAGGACTAGTTTGGGTCCCAGCTGTTCCATTTCCCATACAACTCCCTGCTTAAGGATTGTGAAAACAGCAGAATATGGTCTGGTCCAGGTCCTTGGGCCCCTGCACCAATGTAGAAGATCTGGAAGCAGCTCCGGGCTCCTAGCTTTGGATCCGGCGATGTGGCTATCTGGGCAGTTAACCAGTAGGTGGGAGATACCTCTCTCTGTCCCTGTCTCTTTGTCTCTCTGTCTCTCTGTCTCTCTCTGTATGTGTGTGTCCTCTCTGTAGCTCTGTCTCACCAAATAAAATTAAATTAATATTTTAAAAAGATTCCTGAGTTTCCGGCCAACTCCTCTTGCAGGCCCCAGCCTCCTATTCCCACATGACGGGATAGATGGAAGATACCAGCTGCCTTTGCCCAGCATTCAGCTCACGCTCCCTTCACCGTTAATTTCAGACTGCTCTTCCTCACAAAGTCTTTGCATGGCTGCTACCCACTCTGAGTTCCCCAGATGCACTTAAGCATCAGGATTCCCCAACTTAGTGTTTCATAGGCATGCTCTATAATTAAGAATATAGCTCACAGGTCTGCAAAAGCTTCTAGGATTTCTCCTGTGAATCAACTAATAAAAGGAAAAAGATTCCCTGTCACATCACCTATCATGGTTTTTAGAGTGCATAAAATGGCCCTCTACAAAAACATAACTGGCCCTCAAATGATACCCTCTTACCCTGTCTTCTAAAAAATAAATCTATTTATTTGTTTGTTTATTTATTTGGCAGAATTACAGAGAGAAAATAAGAGAGACAATGTGATAGATCTTTCATCTGCTGGTTCTCTCCCCAAATATTTCTAAGGCTGGAGCTAGGCCAGCCAAAGCCAGGAGTCAAGAGCTTCTTCCCGATTTCCCACATGAGTGCAGAAGCCCAAACACTTGGGCTATTCTCTGTTGCTTTCTCTGGTGTATTTGCAGAGAGCTGGACTTGAAGCACAACAGCCAGGACTTCAATCACAGCCCCCGTGGAATGCTGGCATCACAGGTAGCAGCTTAACGCATTATAGCACAGCACTGTCCCCAACTATCTTCTCCCTTCTTATCATAATGTTTTACTCTTCCTTCACACTTAGCCTCACTCTCACTCAGCTGGCCAAGTTCCTACCCTAGTAAATGCAAGCCATAGCCATACCCCTCTGCTGCTTCCCTCCCAGCACTGAGAAGTCTGAAGAATACCACATACCCCTGCTTCCCAGTCCCAGTAGGAATTCACGAACACTCACCCCCAAATGGGAACTTCACAGTGTCCAGTTTCCTCTGGCCCACCCACCTTCACACTCTCAGAGGCAGTACTTCATATTCTCACCTCAAACTTCCCTCTCTTCCCAATTGCACTGAACAAGAAAACAGAGCAATGGTCTAGCAGTTAAATCGTCATCTTGCAGGCGCCAGGATCCCATATGTGCACCGGTTCTAATCCTGGCAGCCCCGCTTCCCATCCAGCTCCCTGCCTGTGGCCTGGGAAAGCAGTGGAGGACGGCCCAAAGCCTTGGGACCCTGCACCCATGTGGGAGACCTGGAAAAAGCTCCTGGCTTCAGATTGGCTCAGCTCCGGCCATTGCAGCCACTTGGAGAATGAACCAGCGAATAGGATCTCTCTCTCTCTCTCTCTCTCTCTCTCTCTCTCTCTCTCTCTCTCTCTCTCTCTCTCTTTCCCTCTCTCCTTCTTGCTATAAATCTGCCTTTCAAAAAAAAAAGACAAAATATATCTTTAAAAAAAGTAACAGAGGCAACTACTAAAAACATTGCTCATTTTTTATGACCAATCAGAACCTTCCCTGTACACAATCTACACACCCAGTGCCTCCTGTCCCTGCTACATGCGAACTAGCAAATGCCATGTGTGCTGTATAAGGTCACTGTGGTCCTGCACTGTCAGTTTGTCACTGGATCAAAACCATCAGCCTGAATACATGCTGCAGTATCTTTCCCGACCCCGCACTATCCACTTATTATGCTTTACTAGAAGGTTGTCCAGAGCCGCTCGCTTCATGTCCACACATCCCAGGGTCTCTGAAATCCACTCCAGCCAGACTTTGGTCACCACTGCTCCACCAAGACTGTGCTTACTGAGCTCAGTGACCACCATGCTGCAAAAATTTAGCAGTCATTTTCCAGACCTCATCCTGTAGGATCTCTTGGCAACCATAGAGTAGTCTCAGGATGACTACTGCAGCCTTCTGAAGAAATTATACCACTGGGCTTCTGCAGCAGCACCCTCTCCATGACTTTCAGATTCCTGTGTAGACTTCTCTTGTCCTTCCCAATCTCAAGATGCTAGAAAGGGCATAAGACTCACTCAGCCCTCCTCTCCACCTTCTCACAGCCTAAATGAAGTCATCTCTCCCCGCCCCCACCCAATATTTTTGGGAAATGCACCCAGAGAACTCCAACCCCTGGACTCTCCCTGGGGGCCAAATTCACACATACAACTTGCTATGTGACCTCCACACTTGGCTCTCCCCAAGGCATCTCTTGAAAATATGCCCAAGTCTGCTCCCCTTTAGCTTCTTTCAGAGCAGCAAATCCCATCACTATTTTTCACTTGATGGCTTAAGCCCTAAACCATGGGAGCACCTTTCATTTCATTCATTCTCTTATTGCCCACAATCTGTCACCATTATTTTCAAAAACTTCTCCCCATCCAGCCATTTTGGCCCCACTACCGCTGATTCCCTAGTCGCATGACCTTTTCTCTAGCCAGATCTACTGGAACAGCCTGCTCACTCGTGCCACTATCTCTCCTTATTAAAGGAATCCTTTCTTTAATAAGCGTGAATCAGATCTCACTATTCTCCTAGTAGGTTCTAGTTGTGTTTGAAGTAAAACCTAAGCTCTGTGCCCTCCAAACCCTACATGATAAACCCAGGTATCTCTAAGCTTGTTTCTGATCATTCACCCTCCTCACTAAGGTCATTTCACTCACAATGGTCTATGCTGATGTTTTGAGCCTGTGTACTTGCTAGCTGTGTTGGGAACAGCCTTTCCCTAGAAATCAGCTTTTCTCTCCCGTTCTAGACACATGAAATCACCAAATACTCATTACCCTCCTTGAACTTGAGAGTGCATTAACCTCCCACATCTATGAAGCCTCCATGGTCATGTGCAAGCGTACAGAGAGACCAAGCCTCTCCTACAGTCTGAGTCTGGGACTTACCTTGAAGCAGTACTCGTGGCAGCAGATACCAAGGTGCTCGAGCGTAATCTTGGGACAGTCTTGGATCTCCTGACTGCAGTAAGTACAGATCCCTCCAGTTATTCTGCAAAATGAAAACCAAAACCCAGCAGTGAGGCAGGCCCACAGCTTTCTGCTATGACACAGCCAGATAAGGAGTGCCATCAGGATCCCCAGTCTATCATTTTTGTGGTGTGCCACTAGCAGCAGAACTGTGGTTCAGATTGGTTCTCAGTCTGATGTCAACTTTTGCACCATTTCCAAAATGAGGCATGAATCTTTGCTCCGGTCATTATACATAGTACACAGGAGTATTTTGACCTGGCCTTATTCAAGGCAACTTGTCTCCTGACCCCCTGCCTAGCATCTTTGCCAGTGTCTGCTCCCTTTAGATCAGAAAACCAAGGTCCTCTCCCTCAGGAGATATGCCCTTGTATGTTTTATCTAGTCCCCTGTTTTTTCTATTTTTTTAAAGATTTATTTTATTTTTATTGGAAAGTCAGATATACAGAGAGGAGGAGAGACAGAGAGGAAGATCTTCCATCTGATGATTCACTCCCCAAGTGACCACAACGGCTGGTGCTATGCCGATCCAAAGCCAGAATCCAGGAACTTCCTCCAGGTCTCCCACGCGGGTGCAGGGTCCCAAGGCTTTGGGCCGTGCTTTTCCAGGCCACAAGCAGGGAGCTGGATGGGAAGTGGAGCTGCCGGGTTTTGAACCGGTGCCCATATGGGATCCCAGCACGTTAAAGGCGAGGACTTTAGTCGCTAGGTCACCGTGCCAGGCCCTAGTCCCCTGTTTTTAACAGCCCTCTCTTCATGCCTGGGACATTAAGCCCTGCCCTCTCTGCTCCTATATTCTTGGACCCACACTGCCCTAATGCCACCTAGATAGCCTGCTCAGATTTGATGCTGAAATTCTGGGTTGAGCATCTCTCCACTTCTGAGGTTTCTGCTTTTGTCTCTGAGAATCAACTCTGCTTATCCCCATCAGATAGCAGCTTCTCATAGCACCTGCTTGCCCTGACCCTACAGGCTAAATCAGTGATACCATCTTCCAGTTGAATGAATCTGTTTATAATAGGAGCAGCAATGGTGTAACCAATCTGATTACCATAGGCATCTGGGGTTCATCCCTGCCATCCTCATGCTGACCCAGAATTCACTCTCTCAACAGCAATATTGCTAAGGGTGGGCATGTACTGAGGTGATGAAATCACTGTTTGGGATGCCTGCATTCCATATTGAAGTGCCTGGTTCAAGTCCCAGTCTCACTGATTCTGATCCAGTGTCCTGCTAATGCAAACCCCAGAAGGCAGCAGGTAATGGCTTAAATATCTGAGTGCCTGCCACCCATGTGGGTGATTCAGATGGAGTTCCTGGTTTTGGGTTTCAGCCTGGCCTATCCCTGGCTGTTCTAGCCATTTGGGTAATGAACTACTGAATGTATGATTTCTCTCTCTCTCTCTCTCTCTTTCTCTGTGTCCTCTAATAAAAATGTTTAAAAATCAGTACCTTTGAAAACCTGTCCTGTCACACACACACACACACACACACACACACACACACACAATACTCCCACATTCAGTCCAACTCTGTCTCAAATCTCTTAGCATGATCCATTGGAGCTCAGCTATTTTTGTGCACATAATATATGCATGCAAGTGCATCCTTTTTTAAAAATGATCTTTAAAAATCATTTAAAAGGCAGAGGGAGAGAGAGAGAAATGGAGGGATACACATATAAAGATCTTCCATCTGTTAATTTACTCTCCAAATGACCTCAATGGCCAGGAGCCAGGAACTTCTTCCAGGTTTCCCATTTGGGTGCAGGACCCAAGCACGTGGTCCATTCTGCTGGTTTTCCAGTTGCATTAGCTGGCAGCTGGATCAGAAGTAGAGCAGATAGGACTCAAACTGATGCCCATATAGGATTCCAGCCTAAGCAGAGATTGTGGAAGTTGTGTATACAAGGACCCACATTGCTCAGGGAAGGGCAATCAACTATCTGAGAGGTAGTCAAAACTGCTAATGTACACTGCCGAGAAGGGGTAAGCCAGGATATCTACCCAGATCCTAGTTCCTTCTGAAAAGTATGCTTATAGTTAAACAAAATGGCCTAAGAATTCCTCATTACATTACAAATAAAGTCCACTTTAAAAGAAACATTTTGATGGAATGTTTAGTTCAATTGCACAATGAATTTAGTCATGGGAGTCTGATCATTAATTACAAAACTTTTTGAAGATTTATGTATTTGAATTGCAGAGTGGCAGAAAGAAACAGAGATCTCCCATCTGCTGGCTCACTTCCTAAATGGCAACATCAGCTGGGGATAAGCCAGGCTGAAATCAGGAGCACCATCTGAGTTCCCACATGGGCAGTGGAGCCCAAACACTTGGGCTGTCCTCTGCTGCCTGGGAAAGCAGCAGAGGGTGTCTTGAATGCTTGAGCTTCTATACCCATGTGAGAGACCCAGATGAAGCCTCTGGCTTCTGGCTTTGGCGTCACCTAATTGCAGTCATTATGACCATCCAGGGAGCAAACTACTGGATGTAAGATCTCTCCCTCTGTTTCTGTAACCTGAGCTTTCAGATAGCTAAACATATCTTTCAACAACAACAACAACAAAATGGGTAGAAAAAAAGGTGGCATTATAAATGGAGTACGAGATGAGTTAACCATAAACGGACAACCCAAAAGTACCCTACCATGCATAAATCACACCAATATATAATTGCATTACACACTCACTCAACAATTACCTGGAACCAATCTTGAACCAGATTACACAAGATACTGGTGACACAGGAGTGAGGACAATATGGAGCCCAGCAAAAGGTCATGCCATGGATGTCCTGAGACTTGCTCTTACCTGCCATAGCGTGAAGATGCCTGCTTTCCAGAAGACAGTTCGCTCGCATCCATGTACTCCTTCACGAAGACCACTCCTTGGCTGTGGAAGGAGCACAGCAGAACAGAAAGAGATATACTACAGGAACGCATGGGACCGGGCCTAGCCCACAGGAAGGGTCCAGGACTGAGGGAAGTTGTCAGAAACAACTTGAAGATGCTCTTGAGGAGGCCTAGGGCGGATGTCCACTTGTTTGGAGAGTCCTAGAAAAAGGTATCTTCTTTTTCCTCTCTCTAAGCCTAGGATGTCCTCCTGTCCTATACCCTGGACTGCTGCCCTCATTCTCTGGTGCCTTCCCCAAAGGCCTGAAAAAAATAGGGAGTTTACACCAGAGGCATTAAGATTGCACTCTGTGGCTCCTTGGCTAATAAGCTGCAGGGAGTTGAGGGGGCAATACAAGGAAGTTAAGTTATTTACCTCTAAGGAGGACTAGGGAACACCTCTAGTAAGAAAACACTTCCCAAGAAGCCAGATATCCCTTCTTACATGGCTGACTTGGAGTCTGGTTCACTGGGAGGAGCTGGCACATAAAAATATGGCTGCTCACAAGTGTCAGGGGTGGTAAAAGAGACCAGGCAACTTGAAGGGCTTTGCATTCTGTGGGGGAATGGAGAGGGGTTTGGGCTAAAATGGATAACTGACCTCTTACAGAGCCAAGCTGGATTTGGGGTTCTAATCCCAAACCTGCACCTTGAAGGCATTTCAAAGAATGCCAGTGTTTGGGGAATGATGCCTACCATGATCAACTCATGGAATGTGAGAAAACCTATGCTAGGCGTGTAGAAACGTAGTTCAAGGCACAGCACCTGTCAGTGGTCAGATCCCAAACTTGCCATATCGGCTGAGAACTCTGGACTGCAGCCAGACCTCGGCCTCTGCAACTCCACTTGAGTGCAGTTACAGAGCAGCCAGCAATAAAGAAGCACAGCCTTGCTCACTTCCTCACTGGATAGGACAGTGCCTTACTAAGACCAGCCTCCTGAACTCCCACTTTGCAGTGAACACTCTGAAGAAGGCAAGGCCAAGGGCAGAGGGCTAAATGAATGCACATGTTGGTGAAATGGGACGTTGGATGAGCACATTCTGGAAGGCAGGTGCTACCACCAGAGCAGGAAATGGACAGGTCCATGACTTAGTTATAACATTCAGGTGCTGGCTTGGAAACTGCCCTCTGAGGCATCTTACAAAGCCTTTCTTTGGCCGAGTCTTCCACTGGCATTCATGTGCCTCCCCCAGCCACAAACCCTATACCCTAAGATCCTACAGCTGCCCATTCTGTCAGTCCACCCCTCTGTACTTCCCAGCTCACATCTGCCCAACCTTTCACATTCTCAGGCCTGCACTAGGAACAATTAACTTAGCTCTGTGATGATTCAAGCTTCATCTTTTCCTTCACTCTCTTGCCAGAGCCTCCAGCACCCAAGACACTAGCTAGTTTATGAGTGAGGAGGGAGAAGAGAAGAACAATTTATGACCCAGAAGCCACCTGGCTCCCTGCCTCATAGTGTTAATCTACGTCCTATCACATGCAGCTCAAGCACGAGCTGTAATGAGTGCCGTGAAGCCCACCTGGACATCCTACACTCTCTCAGTCCTTTACAGACAAAATTATTTCTTGCTCTGGGAAGGCTGGCCTGAGGATCTACCCCCTACCTCCACCATGTGCTAGGTAGACAGCTTGCCTCCACCCACTCAATCACCACTTGTCTATTGCTGTACTACCCTATGATTCTGACAGATACCATGGGGCTTCAGAGAAGCCCCCCAGGAACCTGGAGAGACAGAACAGGAGTTGCAGAGCCAAGGAACAAGAGCAGCGATTTTTGAGAGGAAGGCGATGGGAACCTGGCAAGGGTCGGGCATCCTCAGATCCACATCCAGCTGGTGAGTCCAGGGAGAGCAGAACTGCAAGGGTGCAGGAGGAAACCCCCAGGGTTGCAGTGAGAATAAAGAAGCCCTCTGATAACCCTTTTCCCTTGTGTGCTAACATCCCACCTCCTTCCTAATGACCTCTTCTTCCTCACCTGCCAGACCCTATGAAACTCAGCCCCTGCCGCCTCCTCAGCTCAGCTCCCAGCCTCGGCCTGGGTTCCTCTCTATCACAGCACCCACGGTTTTCTGTTCTCACGCAGTTTCCATAGTTCAGTGGCTAACAATACAGGTACTGGGCTCTGACTCTCCAGGCTCTAACCCCTGGTGGGCCACTTCCTGGAACCCAGAGATATCAAGAGGCAGGTAAGGGAACATCATCACCAGAACAACAAAAGGCCTATCAGGAAGTGTCAGAGATGCAGGAATCCTGCCAAGCTGTACTGATGCAAAGTGGGCTCCAGGGATCAAGACTGAATCTGAGAGCCAGAAAGTCACATCATGGAGTTGGAGGTGAAGTGCATCAGGCAGAGATGGGACACATGTCAGCAAGTGCAGACATTCTCTCTTCCAGCCTGGTCTGCTCACATAAACACACAGCCGCACAGCCCTCACAGAGACTACACTGGATCTGATCCAACAACTCCAACTGTCTCTAAATAAAGCTATCTTTAAGGTGCTTTTACATATTCATTTATAAAAGATTCATTTTTTATTTGAAAGGCACATTTTGCAAAGAAAAGGAGAAATAGTGAGAAATAGTGAGATCTCCCATCCACTGGTTCACTCCCCAAATGGCTGGAGCTGAGCCAGTCCAAAACCAAGAACCAGAAACTTCTTCCAGATCTCCCACATGGATACAAGGTCCCAAGGACTTAGGCTGCCCTTTACTGGTTTCCCAGGCCATAAACAAGGACCTGGATTGGCAAGTGGAGCAGACGGGACATGAAACAGCACCCATAGTACATGCTGGCACCACAGGTAGCAGATTGCAGATGAGACCACATGTTACCTTTGCAGATGAGAATTGATGGAATGGTTCAATATCATGCAGTTTTATGCGTAACTTGCTTGTGAAAATACATTTTCAAGGACAGCATTGTGGCATAGCAAATAAAGCTGCCACTTGCAACACCAGCATCCGGTACTGGCATTGGTTCAAGTGCTGACTATTCCACTTCCAATCTGGATGGAAATCAGTGGGGGATGTCCATGGTCCATGTCCAATGGACCCATACACCCGCTTGTGAGAGCTGGAAGACGCTCTTGGCTTTGCTTGGTACCACCCTGGCTACTGTAGCCATTTGGGGAGTGAACAAGTGGATGGAAAAGAATCAATCCACCGCTCCCTCTCTTCCTGTCAAATAAATAAATAGTTGTTTTCAAACTAGATTTTCAAAACTCAGGTATTTTAAGATGTGATCCACGATCAGACAAATTTGTTAGGTTTCAAATTGGAAATTTTGCACAGGTACAATAAATATTTGATTTGGTGGGGATGGGCCCCAGAAAACACATTACAGGACTGTAATGCTGCCAGGCCCTTCTCGGCCCCTTGCTCTCACCCCTGCTTCCTCAGCTACTGCTGCCAGTTTCTTGTAACCACAGCCCAACTGTGGTGGCGGTGAATCACTGGCCAGACGCTGCTCTTGCACAGCTCTCCAGTCACGGTGGCAGCAGAAGCATTCACCAGCGCCTTGTGATGTCAGCGCTCAGAGGCCACAAAAATGCACTTCCCTCGAAGCATGGGCTCTTCCCTTTCCCTGGGCCACGCATGGGCTCACAGACTTGATGCAATGCCCACAGCTGAAACTTAACTCAGACCTGTGGCTCTTTATAACACTCATGCCTGCGGAGGCCAGTGGGCATGCCTAGAGCCTGTGGGCTTGTCCTGCCTCGCAGCCACTGGTGGAAAACCCGGTCTCCTTGAGACAGGAGCACAGCGCCCCTTGGCCCTTACCTGCTGGCACAGCCCTCAGGTGCAGGCAGCTTGTCGGGCGCTCCGGGGCTCTGCTGCTCCAGCATGCTGGGCTGGACCGCCGGCTGAGTGGCTGCAGCTGTGTCTCCCTGGCCACTTCCCAGAGCTGCAGGTTGCTCCTGCCCATCTTCTGCCACCTGGCTGGCCGCGCTGCTCTCTGCACCACCAGCCACAGCGCTGAGGAAGAATGAACACACGTGTGCAGACTGCGCCCGGGACTGGCCGCAGCCACCCATCGCACAGCGGCTGCCACCGCCCAGAGGCCCGGGGCGACTTGCATTCCTGGCGCTGAGCCACAGAGCCAAGCTGTGGGCTCCACCGCGGGGAAGCCGTTCCGTGGTGTGCTCTGTGCTTGCCGAAAAAGGCAAAGCACACTTGACGACGTCAATGAATGTTAAAAGCCACTCTTCCCTTAGCTGGGGAAACAGTGGACTTCTTTTCTATAACCCCTCACTCCCCGCCCACTGCCAGCCCCTCCTCCAATCGTCATGCAGCTCCAGTGCACCTGCCCAGTTAAAAAGACCTCAGTTCTCCAGTGCTGTACAAATTCTGACAACTTAGCCCGGCGCAGAAGGCGCCTCCCTGTGTGGTTTCTCCCTCGCCTAGAAGAGAGAGCTGCGCAGCAAGTCTATGGTGGTGGCTACATTTTCTACATTTCAAAGATGCCACCAGATCCCCAAATTCGCAGGGCGGGGCCGAGAGGAGCAGTCGATGATCATTTGTGATCCTCGCTCACCACCTGGCGGTCGCTGTGAGCAAAACAGCAGAAGAAGCGAAGTCGAGGCCCATCACGCCCGGCATAACCATTTTGTTTGTTGATGGTCTAGTTTCTCAGCGGGCAAGGCGGTCCTAGCTGATGGTTGTAGCAAATGGCGGCGTGCGCAGGCGCAGTAACGATGGTCTTAAGCTGTGCTAGGCACGCAGTATCCCGCCGTGTGTATGCAGTCGCTGATACACAAGCTTTGTTGTGGACGCATTGTTGCCCGAGTTAGAATGTCATCTTTTTTGTTTTCAGATAGAGAATATTGCTATGAATTTATGTCATTTTCATCTCAGTTTTACAGATGACAAAACTGGGTTGTGGACCACTTGCAGTTAACACGTGGCAGAGCAGAACTTCCCTTTTTGCCCTCCTCCCCATTGCTAAACTTGATCCGTGACCGTCTCTGCACTTAGGGTGTCACTAAGTACCATCTAGGATGTTATCTAAGTAGAGACAATAGTAGCGTGGAAACAGGGGCGAGAGTTTATCAGCTAAACATCCCATTTAAAATAGTGGCTAAAGTCCTTGCCTTGCATGCCTCTGGATCCCATACGGGCACCTGTTCATGTCCCAGCTGCTCCACTTCCCATCCAGCTCCCTGCCTGTGGCCTAGGAAAGCAGCAAAGGATGGCTCAAAGCCTTGGGACCCTGCACCCATGTTGGAGACTGTGAAGAGGCTCCTGGCTTTGGATTGGCTCAGCTGCAGTTCTTGCGGCTACTGAGGGAATGAACCAGTAGACAGAAGCTCTTTCTGTCTCCTTCTCTCTGTAAATCTCACTTTCCAATAAAAATAAATCCTTTAAAACAAATACTTAGGACCCAGTGCCATAGCTTGGTGGCTAAAGTTCTTTGATCGTGCCAGGATCCCATATGGGCGCAGTTCTAATCCTGGTGGCCCTGCTTCTCATCCAGCTCCCTGCCTGTGGCCTGGGAAAGCAGTGGAGGACGGCCCAAAGCCTTGGAACCTGCACCCACATGGGAAACCCGGAAGAGGCTCCTGGCTCCCAGCTTCGAATCGGCTCAGCTCTGGCTATTGTGGCCACTTGGGGAGTGAACCAGCAGATGGAAGATCTCTCTTTCTGAACTCTACCTTTCCCCCACATCTGGAACCCTAGTTGTTTGCAAAGAGCTGCCTACCTTTATTTACTCTTTTATCTGAGTTTTACCATTTAATATTTCTTAGACGCTGTCAGTGCTTTTCCAGCTCCCTGGCTGTACAGTGGGTCACATTTAGCATGCAGAGGGAGGAACACCACTTTGCAGCCGAGATGCAGCCCTTGCCAACCCCCCCAAAAACAAAAACAAACAAAACAAAACAAAAAACAAAAACCAAGCAAACCCGGTCTCCTTGAGACAGGAGCACAGCGCCCCTTGGCCCTTACCTGCTGGCACAGCCCTCAGGTGCAGGCAGCTTGTCGGGCGCTCCGGGGCTCTGCTGCTCCAGCATGCTGGGCTGGACCGCCGGCTGAGTGGCTGCAGCTGTGTCTCCCTGGCCACTTCCCAGAGCTGCAGGTTGCTCCTGCCCATCTTCTGCCACCTGGCTGGCCGCGCTGCTCTCTGCACCACCAGCCACAGCGCTGAGGAAGAATGAACACACGTGTGCAGACTGCGCCCGGGACTGGCCGCAGCCACCCATCGCACAGCAGCTGCCACCGCCCAGAGGCCCGGGGCGACTTGCACTCCTGGCGCTGAGCCACAGAGCCAAGCTGTGGGCTCCACCGCGGGGAAGCCGTTTGGGTCCTCTTCAGAGAACTCCAGTGCCACTGCTGTCTGCTTGCTGAGGAACACCAGGCAGCCCCTATGTGTGATAGCGGCAACTCAACTCGCCTGTGAAGCCAGCAAGGAGAGAGTAGCTGTTTGGGGGTCTTTCCTGGCCTCACAGCATGCCTGCACTGCACTCTCCCATCACCATCCCCAAACTCTGAGCATCCCTGGGCCCTACCAGGACTGCAGGCCAGTGGAGGTGACCCTCCCCAGGAAGTAGAGGACAAACGCCGCCCCGTGCTGCCTCTCCCTCTGCCTGTGACACACAGAGAAGGCATTCTGACGTCGCTGTGCCTAGAATTGGATCAGAGTTCTGTCCTACCCCAGGTCGCGAGGCCACTGCTGGTACCTGAGAAAGAGCAGTACATTCCCACCGCTCCGTTGCAGCCTGACAAGGAAAACAGCTGCCTACGCTTTAGAGGGGAAGTCCGGCCTTCTTCACTTACACAGCTGGATCTTGACATTGACCCAGCACTCTGTGAGAGCAAATGTCTTACATGCTTTATATGTAAGCCCGTTTAAAGCTAACAGCAACCCTCCTGGGCACGGGCTACGAGTCCCACTATTCCACACACCAAGAAATCAAAGCCCAGTGAAAATGAGAAGCCACAATTAGTAACAGAACTTGAATTTGAACTCCAGCACCAGTCTTCGCTATCAGGCACTGTATTACACTGCTTGGCTCTGTGCACGTGATAAAGCAAGGCTAAATCAGTGTAAAGATGAATCCCTGAAGGTTGAATCACTTAAAATAAAACTGCCTTACAACCTGGCGAGACTAAGTTTCTAGGGCTCCACGGGACTTTACTCTCCGTGTCCTCTGGCATTGCTGTCACAGCTGCTCACCACAGTGATGCAGGGGAAATCGTGGCTGCAGGCTCCAGTTTCCCTCCCTGCATCCCACACCTTGTGCTCCTGCACAGATGTGAAGACCAGCACTCAAGTCACATCAGCTCTAAGGCCCCCGGACAAACTAGCAACGCAGAAGTCTCCTTCAACTCCTTACAGGCAATGTGCTGTTCTGCAGCCAGGGCCTGGGTGACCGGCGACTTCCACTCACAGTCATCCCAAGGTCAGCAGCACCGCCTCAGCTCTTTATGCCTTGAAGGGAGAAGACTAATACAGAATCCTCAGGGAGGGGCCGCGATACGCGGCTAGGCCCATTTGTGGTCCTGGCGCGCCACCTAGCGTCCGTTATGTGTACGGCCGCCGGAGAAGATGGCTGTGGCGGATCTCATTCTGCACCGCCATTTCGCTTAGCGAAAGGTCGCATTTCTCCAGAATCACTGCGGCCAGAGCTCGTGCAGGCAGGACATGGCGGCGTGCGCAAGCGCACTCCCGACAGCCGTACGCTGGTTTGGGCGTCTGTGATCCTGGCAACTACAGCCTCAGGCTGGCCAAGGCGCAGACGCGGTTATGGTCGCCCGAGATGGCACTGATCCGCGCTGCCGCACACGTTGCACAGGTTTCGTATACGCTGCCCAGACCGCTGGAGGCCATTGGGAGCTCTCTTCCTGAACAGATCGTGAACCCTGCAGAGCAGGAACATTGAGACCTGTAATTGCGTGTGTGTGTGTGCGTGTGCGTGTGTGTGTGTGTGTGTGTGTAGGCAGGAGAGGGGCATCACTGGGTGGTCTGGTAGGCTTTTCAGCAGATCCCTGGGCTGTATGTACCCTTTAGAATCCAGCAGTACTTTCCCCTTCCAGTTGTGACTACTAACAAAGTCACCAGATACTGTTAGCTATGCCCCAGGGGAGGGAGCAAGCCTGCAAGACGCCCCTGGTTCAAACCCATTACCCTAAAACAATGGCTCTTGAAAAAAAAATGAGGAGCTTTTAAAGAGACATAGATTGTGGAAGTGACCCGAGACAAATTAAGTGCAAAGCTCCACTTGGGGCTCAGGAAGTGTTTTTTTTTTTTTTTCTGCCAATAGTTCCCAGCTAACTTTTCAAGTGCAACCAGACATGTGACGAAATGTGGTTGAGAAACTTTGCATTCATTTTTTGCAAACTTAATATCATAGGAAAGTAGTTCAAGCTGGCTTTGGGACTGAGCACTAACACCTGTAATGCTGTGGAAACTGCATCTCACGGATTTGCTTGGAAGACTGTACAACATCTGGCACATTACACCTCACCCTCCAGTAGCTGATTTAAGTTTAAGAAACAAACAAACAAACTTGGAGCTTGACATGATGGCTCAGTGGCTAAAATCCTAGCCTTGTACACGCTGGGATCCCATATAGGTGCTGGTTCTAGTCCTGGCAGCTCCACCTCCCTTCCAGCTCCCTGCCTGTGGCCTGGGAAAGCAGTTGAAGATGGCGCAATGCTTTGGGACCTTGCACCTGCATGGGAAACCTGGAAGAGGCTCCTGACTCCCCGCTTCGGATTGGTTCAGCTCTGGCTGTTGCAGCCACTTGCGGGAGTGAACTAGCAGACAGAGCATCTTTCTCTACGTCCCTTTCTCTCTGTAAATCTGCCTTTGCAATACCTTTTTTTTTTTTAAACAAACATTTGGAACATGTGAACACAGAAACATACCAGGACTCCATCACTGGTACATTTGCTGAAAGCAATCCTACGCCATGCTTTTCTTTGGCTTGACACTTCAAATAAGATCCAACTTGCTTATCATGCCTGACCAATGCCCAGCCCTCTCTGCAATCTCTCTTACCACGTAGGCTCCAATAATCACAGGCCTTGGGACACACTAAGTACATTTCCACTGCAGCTATTCAGGTTTTGGGTCCTTGACTGCAGCCGTCTTCCCCTGTTTTCTTTGTTCACCCCAGTGTCTCCTGCTCTGCTCTCCTCAGCATCAGCACTCTATCTGACCACCCTGGCTATTTCCTCCGCTCTCCCAGGAAGCACAAAGATCCAAGCTGCAGCCCTATGTTCCTTGTTGTAATTCTGCATCAACCTTGAAAAACTGGAAAGTACCCTATGAGAGGCTGCAGAGTACTGCGCACACAGTCTATGCCTGCAAGGTAACACAGCAGAGCAGGACAGTTGGCCCCTACCTACTTTGTGCAAAATCCTCCTCCACCGCTTTTCTCTCAGGACTCCATCACTGGGAACACCCAGCTATGTGCAGTGCCAGGAAACAGCACAGTTTTCCACCCTTTGTTTATCTGACTCCCTCTGCTCCCTCTGCCTGGAGGACATTCAAGGCATTATGTGTTGGGACGATTTGAACCGGCCTGTGCTTGCACATCCAGGCAGCACGCTTGTTGCGAGCAGAGCTGTCTCTTGTTCGTGTGGGCCATGCTTCACCACAGGAAAGGTACTGCCCAAGTTGTTGCTGACTCAGAGTGACCCTTCTTGATCACGGAGACAACAAAGTTAAATGGTAAGCTCTCTGCGCTCCGAGGCAAAGGTCTGAAGGTTCCAGCTGGGGCTGCTGCCCTCTCCATGTGCATTAGACCAAGGTCACAGGCTCCACTGACATTGCCTTCCCAAGACGAAGGCTGCTGCACACCCACGCTGCCGTTGTTTGCTCCAGAACCTCAGCCCTGCATTGACGCCTTACCCTTTTGTGGCCTCCAGGTCTGCTGGAATGTCATTCCTCTCATCCAGGACGGAAGTGGTCAAGGTGGCACCGGAGCTGAGGGAGGAAGCCTCAGAGCAAAGGCCCAGGGCCTCACCTGCCTGGCTGCTTTCTCACAGGAAGGGGGAGTCGCATCTGTCAGTGAAGTTAGCCTTCTCACTCTTTACACAAATGCCACTGTGTATGACAATGTCATGTCAATCTTGGACATGACCTTAGCACCTGAGTTCAAAACTAGTCACTGCTCCTTGACCAACTTTGGATCCCTAGGGCAGTCTGTTCCTGGCTGCGGACTCCACAATCTTTGCCTGACTGACACCTCAGGGTTACCAGATGTGCCACGCCCCCACGGAAAAAGAATGGCCATTCCCACTGGTGAACTGGTAGATGAAACAGGGAAGAATCCTTGGAATATTCAACTGATTCCCATCAGAATTTTGTGCCTCCGGGGACCCTGTTCTTCCCAGTTTCCTGCCATATATTCCCTGGTAGCAGGATCTGTTTCCAAGCTCTGCCTGCCTGAGCCCTCCCCTCTATCACTATTCCACTCCCTCCTTCCAGCCCCCTCTACTGTTCACCTCAGCTTGAGTCAATGTAGGGTGATGCTAGACTGTCTGGACCAGAAAGCTTATCACCTGTCCCTTTTCTCTGCACTGGATAGGTAGGTCCAACTCCAGGCTGGGTCCCTCCCAGGCTTTCCTGTCCTGCTGTGGCCTCCTGATTGGAAGAAGGCCTGGAGCTGGCAAGTGTTAAGGGGACTCCTAGAGTGCTGGGGCTGAGACTGACCCTGCAGACTGTCTGACAACAGAAAGATCATGGGGAAATTGCCCCGCTCTTACCTTACAGGCAGTGGTCCAGGCTTGCAGGATGGAGAGCTGCCACTATCCACCTCTTGATCTTCCAGGAAAGGGATGAGGCCAGCAGCTAATCCCAGGCTATGGAAGGACACCAGGCATGGTCTAGGTTCATTACTACTGAAATGCCAGGGCATCCTGATACCTGGGACAGTGTAGCATAGTACTTGAGGTCATGCTTCTGGCTTTGCTGCCTCCCAGGCATATTACCTGACTTCTTTTGGACTTTAATTTCATCATCAGTGAATTAGGGAATAAGAGTCATCATATCTGCTTCATAAGTATACTGAAAAGAGTAAGTGAATACATAGATGCCAAGAACTTTGGATAATGTCTGAACTGTACATATAGTAACACCTTCCTGTGTCAAAGGGCCATGTGACCATTTGGACAGCTCCTCTGTCTCCACCCAGTTGATACAGATTTTGTGGGAGGAGCACCTTCAGCCTTCTCAAGGCTAAGCTTCACTGTCTATGTAAAACAGGCTGACATGAACAGGACACTCCATTAGCTGCATAAGCCTGTGTGCCCTCCACTTGAATAAGACACTTGCTGAACTAAACAAAATCAGCAAAATCTAGAAGAGTCTTCAGATTACATGTTATAGAGAGACTTGACTTCACTTTAAGGAAGCCTAGGAGAAAGCAAGGACTTGTAGCATAGTTCTTCCTTCTGGTGGAAGCCCCAAGGACCGAATCCGCTCCCATGACCCTTCCTTGGAGCTGCTCAGAGACAGTGGTTGTAGAGGCTGGATCTAGACATCAAGGCTCTGGATCTGGGAAGCAGATGACACTAGTAGAGTTAGGGAGGGGATGAGGCTCCTGATGGGCTTGGAGAAGTGCAAGCAGCTAGACTTTGGAGAGAGGAGGGCTTTGGGAAGGGGCTAGGGGGCTGGTATGTTGCAGTTATAGCAATCTGCAGACATGCACCCATTCATCTGCTCTGAGTCCTGAGGGTCCTAGCAGAATTTGCAGCCAAACAATCTGCAGGAGCATCTGTACATGCAACCTTGCTACCCAAAGATGACTCGGAATCCTTTGGGCACAGCTGCGAAAGCAGCCTTGAGTCCACCCAAGCCCAGGAGCCCAGAGCAGAACTGGGGCTGCTGCTTTTCCCTTCACTGAATCTCATATTAAATGTGGCCAGACACTGAACTTATCTGGACAATAAGATGCTGGACTTTATGCTAGGTATATGCTTGCAATGAAGGAATCTCAACTGAACTTGAACTGAGGTTATGCAGCAAGGTGGAGGAATCCACTATGGGGGGAGGGGTGTGGGAGGGGTGGGGAGAATCCCCAGTGCTTATAAAACTGTATCACATAATACAGTGTTAATAACAATTAAAAAAAAAAATTTTAAAAGTGGCCAGAGCAGCGGTTCAGAACTGGTGAACTATCGAAACCACTCGAGCAGGACCCTCGGAGCATGCCCCACATCGGGGACCTGGGATGGGTGGGAGGCTGGGTGGGGCTTCTCCCTTTGTTTCTCCCCTAACCCCAGATACAGGGGGAAAATGATGATATTAGTGTGAAAACAATGGTCTTACCCACTTTCCTGTAGCCCTTGAACCTTTGTGTCCTAATTAACTATGTAAAGTTTGCCAAAAATAAAGAAAAAAATGGGAGAAAAAAAGAAAATCTATAACATGTGCACCCATATTATTCCATCCTGTACTCACGGCAGACATCTTAAAAAATAAAAAGTGGCCAGAGAGGGGAGTGAGGCAGGAAAAAGGAGACCTTGGGGCTTCTGGAAGAGAAAGAAGAAAGCAAAACCAAAGGGCCTCCTAGCTGGTCCTTGGGGCCCAGGCAAAAAGTAAGGCACCAATTTGTGCTTCATTCAATTAGTTCGTCCCTTCACACACTTCACTCGTTCTACCTGCCGAATACTAGCTCCATATGGAGGTTGTGACTCCAGCTGTGGGCGAAGCCTTGCACCTACTCTAGTAGAGCTCAAGAGCCAGTGGCAGCAGGTAGAAGAAGGAACCCATCTCAAGCTCTGGCAAGTCCAAGAAGCAGTGGAAAACCCAAGGACAAAGGACAAAGGATGTGGTAGGGAGCATGGGCAAAGCAGTAGACAGGAGCCCAGGAACTGACTAGTGTCCCACCCCCAGCAGCACAACTAGTTGGGCAACTTAGCCCTGAGCTGTCACCAGGAATATGACCGAATCCACCTCCCCAAGACAGCTCACCCTCCTCTTTCAGAACTGATATCATCTGTTCCAGGCAAGGACCTTGGAGTTCCAGATCCCATGGTGTTTTCATTCAACTGGGCAGTCGGCCTATTCAGGGGGAAAAGAAGTATTTATTGACTTTGAATGTCTAGGGAAAAGGCATCCAGGACTGGAAACACAGGTCCATGACTGCCACCCTACACAGCTGTGCCCAGGACTTAAGCAAGCTCAGTAGACTCTGGCACTAAATATTTCTGTGTTTTTTTGCAAATGTGATGGGCTGAAACAAGAGTGGATCTGGAAAACACAGCAAAGTGGTAGCTCATGAGGAGAGTACTACACTAAAGTGCAAACGGCCAACAAAGCAAGGGGCCACTAACAAGTGACAGGAATCAGAGTCATCACTCAGCCATGTGGGATCCCCTTCCATATTCCTGTTGTTCAGAGCCTGGCTGGAGGTTTCAGTGTTATACATTAAGAAGATGGGTCAGTGCCTTCTTTATATTTTTAAATTTATTTTATTTGAAAGGGAGAAAGAGGGATGGAAAGAGAAGAGGGGAAGGGAGAGGAGTTGAGAGAATGAAAGAGGTGACAGGAGAGGAGAGGTAAGGAGAGGCGAGGCGAGGCGAGGTGAGGAAAAGAGAGGAGAGGGGAAGGAGGAGAGGAGACGGGAGGAGGAGGAAGGATAGGTTGAGGGGAGAGGAGAGGAAAAGAGATGAGAAGGGGAGGAGAAGAGGGAGAGGAGAGCACAAGCGAAGGGGGAAGGGATGAAGAAGGAGAGGAGAGGGGAGAGAAGAGAGAAGGGGAAGAGGGAAGGAGAGGACCTCATCCACTGGTCAACTCCTCAGTAGCCTGGGTTGGACCAGGAAGAAGCCAGGAGCTTGGAATTCAACCTGTGTCTCACGTGGGTGGCAGAGACCCAAATTTTTGAGTCACCACTTGCTTCATTCCCAGGTTGCACAGTAGCAAGAAGCTGAAATTAAAAATGGAGCTAGGACTCAAACCCAGGTTGTATCTGTCGGCTCTTATTCATTATTGACTAACAGATCCCATTATCCTCTGACCTCCTCCTGCCCTTGCTTTGCCCTGGCCATTGGCAGATTGCTATGTCCTGCAGTAACAGCACATTGAGTGTAGCAGATTCAGGTCAACGAAAGAAACTCAGTGTGGGGCAATGATCTGGCCTATTGTTTGGGTCTGCTCTGCAACTGGTTCCTGAGAGGTCTTGGCAGGACTTGTCCTCTCTGGGCCTCATGGATTCATTCCTTCAACAGACAGCCATTGCAGATTTGCAAGGCGATGGGCACCAGATACCATAGTTGGAACAGGACAATCCTGGTCTCAGCTCCATCCACTGAGCCTGGACCAAGAGCCACAGATGCCTTTCCGGTGGGTGCATGTGGGTTCTGAATTCTCAGGATGAAGCATGCTCCCTAGACAGACTTACCTCCCAGAGTCTATGTCCGGGCCCTTGGAGTCCTGCTCACCAGCCAAGTATCCGGGCTCCCTGGGTTGAAGGGTCCCTTTGTCACATGAAGATGACCTATAAAGGAAACATGTATAAGTTAAGTGTATGATAGTCTCCCAACTGCTTAGGTAGGCGCAGTTATATCATCTTCAGATGCCAGCTGATCCCAAGGAGCTTATAACCTGCCATTAATGTATTAGACCATTCATAAAACCTTATTACCAATAACTGACTGGAGGAATAGTCTGTTCTGATGATTTTACATGCTTCACCTCTTCACATCACGTTCATGCCATGGGCACATTGTTATCCGTGCCGATTTTCTAAACAAGTACATTGAGGAACAGAGTGTGAGCAAGAAAAGAACTAGGATTTCCCAGACAGTGTAACTTCAGAGCTTTGGAATCTATTCTATCACAGTATAGGGCTGATCCTACCATCCTAGTGCAGCCCCTCTGTTCTGTTCGAGATCATTGTCAAATACAACATTAACAGTCACGTCATCATCTCAGCCCACTTCCTTGCCACCTGTCCTTCCTTGTCCCTCCACTGCCTATCCCGTTCTCTGCACTTTCCAGGTCTCCTCATCTTTTCCTCTTTTTCTTGGCTGTCTACAAATAAACCTTATCATTTATTCATCAATAAATATGAAGTGTGTCTGGTAATGCTCCCTTGCCCCCTAAGCCTATGAGTGAGTATAGTGGGTTATTAGGCAAAAAGTTGTAAGGCAGGAGTAAGTGCACCTGCCTGCAGTAAGTGCACCTGCCTGCTATCGACTTGTCTTAACTTGCTCTCAACCCATTTTTCAGAGACTAACTAATCATCTCAGAGAAGCTAAGGAAACAGCTTCCAATGTTGCCATATCATACCCATCACATTGGGTGACTCCAGATCATTGCAGCAACAAAGACTCTTGCACTCATATTCTGAGCCAATGCTTGTGCTAGGATGCAGAGAGAATGTAAACAACACTGGCTCTGCTCTATAGATACTCAGAGTCTGAATGGATGATTGTGAGGTGGAAAAGAAACATGGGCAAGAAAGGAATCGCAGAACAGAGGGCTTTTGTAGTGAGACCAAACAGCACACAGGGGAAAAGACATCCAGGGAATAGTCCATGGCCTTCAGGGAGAAGTCCAGGGAGGCAGAACCTAAGGCTAAGAGTGCACCAGTCTGTCCAAGGCTTCATCTGTTAAGGTACTAAGTCCGGACTGCAGAATTTGAGTGGGCAAAAGGAATGACATTGTTCTTCACGACTTCCGCCTTCCAGGAAGAGGCAGTGTGGAGACAAGAAAGTAGAAAAAGGCTGCGGACAGCTGGCCAAGTGATAGTGGAGACCCACACCAGAGAGGGCTGTAGTGATGAAAACATCTCGAAGAAAAAATACACGGAAAGGAAAGTGGGGTTCAAGGAGGAGTCAGAAGGACCGGTCAGGAACCAGCATAGTGGACTGTGGGGGGTGATCCAAGAATTCTGCTCTGCACCTCATGGACCACATCATTCTGGCACAGCAATTGTCCAGTGACTTAAGTGGGTGCTGCATACCTGGTACCCCCTACTACTATGGCTGACCAGTCTTAGCTTCAGGGATGCTCAAGGCTGAGCTGTCACACCTGAGAGCTGCTGGCACGCTACAGCGTGGTCAGCACAGATGACCAGGCTCACACTCGCATCTGTGCCTGCCCTTATCCCCCGCTGGACAGACAATGCAGCTTATGGTGGGTGGTCTCCAAGGCTGAGCCTACCTCGCATAGCCCAAAGCATGTGCTCTGTAACAGAAGCAGAGACCCCAGGCAACCCATGTCTCCAACCCACCTTGTTAGCCATACAATGGGAGAACTAGCTCCCAGGCTGTGGAGGGGGCAAGACAGCAGCAAGGCCACCATACCTCATGTCCTCCAAGTCTGGGGCTACCAGGCAGAGTCCTGGCCTGAGTGTCATGAGCTGCAGGCAAAGAATCTCCTTACCTCTTGAACTGCAGGCCAAAGGAGAGACCCGGGAATTACTGGTGAGAAGGCCTTCTCCTGCTCCATGCACGCTGGGCATCTAACGCTTCCTCTGTAGCCTCTACCTAGCACACTGGGACACCCAGACCCATTGCCTCCCACCACTTCACACCATTTGTTCTCGTTTTTTCTTTGATGTGGAGCCCTCTTGGTGCTCCACAACACAGACAATATAGGGTGAGGGGCACTAGCCTCCCGGTCCCAGCTTGAGCCCAACTTCACCTCAGGCATATGAAGGAGACTTCCGGGTAGAAATGTGATCTCTCAGCGCTGATGTCCCATGGGAGCTGCCACCCATGGGGTTGTGTGTGAGGCCGACAGGGATTCAGAGCTCATGAGCAGATGAGGATTCATGGGCATGAGATGCCGAGGAAAGTGACAGACCAGATTCTGAGGGGATGTGCCTAGGCATCCAAGAACTGAAGCTCATGGCGGGGGTGGTGAGCGTGGGGCTAGGAGCAATGCAGTACTCCCAGGCAGGCCACTCTGGACTGTGTCTGATGTGCTGCCCTGCTGCAGACCCTGACACCTATCAGATTTGTGCAAGGTGTTGTCCGGGACTGCAGAGAAACTAGAGCTCCTACACCAGATCTTCCTCGGTCTGTGCAGGGAAGCCCAAGTTCCCCTTTGGGAGCCAGTCCGAGTCATGTTGTAAGTCCTCGCACCCACAGGAGATGTCTTAAATACTAACAGCAGACCTGGTCTTGCGGATGGAGGCCTTGGGGGTCTCACGCAATGTGGCTGGTTCTTTGGGAAAGCCATTCAGCAGTCCCAGGGGAGGAAGGATTGATGAGCAAGGGTGAAGGTAGTGAGGCAGTGAGGCAGCTAGTTCGGTGACAGCTCTTCAGCTGGTGGCTGCCTTCAGCCTAGACCAGGAAGGCATGGAGGACTGGGGCAGCAGCTTACTCACTCTGTTCCCTTGCCTCCTCCTTGGGAAAGGCTGTCCCCCTGAGCCCTATCCCCCTTGAAAGCCAGTCTTGACTTGGATCATGATGATGACCTTGGTATTGATTGCAGTGTCATGTATGACAGCACAAAGTCTCTTACTTTGGGCCCACTCTACCTCACTAAAAGCATGTAGTCCCTTGGAGATGTTAACAGGTAAGTGAAACCGATTTTCTCACTGGCATTTCTGGTTGTGTCAGTGAGGAAAGGGAACATGTTACCAAGTCCCTGTGACTGCCCAAGCTATTGCCCCTCTCTCACTATTTCCTTCTCCTTTGTGTTCCCCCGAGTAATCAATCCCCTTCTTAAAGACTAAGCTCAGATGGCACCTATTCAGGGGTTGGGTTGTGTCTTTTCAAACCCCTGAGATGTATGACAAATTTAACCAAAGTAAGATGAGATCAACACTGCAGTTGGGTGAGCCCCCATCCAGGTGTCCTGGAGGGAAATTTGGATCCAGGGAGACATACAGAGGCAAGACAGCCATGTGAAGACCAAGGCAGAGATTAGGGTAATACGATCGCACGCCATAAGAACACTGACGACTTTCGGGAACAGAAACTAAGGGAAAGGCATGGAACAGGTTCTCCCTCAGAGCCTTGAGAGGGACCACAGCCATGCCAGTACTTTGATCATGGCCTCACAGAGTCTACAACTGTGAAAGAATAAATACAGGTACTTTAACCTCCAGTTTTTAGATAACACATTACAGCAACCCCAACAAACAATTACAAAGAATCTTCAGGAACCTCATTGAGGAGAATGCGGGCAGCATAGCAGTTACCATGGCCATCTAACATATCAGAGGGTCAGCTCAGGTTCCAGTCCCATGCTCCTGACTCCAGTGAGCGGATTCCTGTCCTACCCACCTGGCAGACCTAGACTGAGTCCCCAGATTCCAACAACAGCCAGACCCAGCCCTGAGCACTGCGTGCATTCGGAGAATGAAACACACGTGGGAACACTGCTGCACAGTTAAATTTTTTTAAAAAATGGGCCCAGCACGATAGTGTGGTAGTTAAAGTCCTCGCCTTGCTCGCACCGGGATTCCATGTGGGTGCCGATTCTAATCCCAGCAGCTCCACTTCCCATCCAGCTCCTGCTTGTGGCCTGGGAAAGCAGTCGAGGACGGCCCAAAGCATTGGGACTCTGAACCCACGTGGGAGACCTGGAAGAGGTTCCTGGCTTTGGGTCGGCGCAGCACCAGCTGTTGCGGTCACTTAGGGAGTGAATCATTGGATGGAAGATCTTCCTCTCTGTCTCTCCTCCTGTCTGTATATCTGCCTTTGCAAAAAATAAATAAATAAATAAATAAATAAATAAATAAATCTTGAAAGAAAAGAAAATTCAAAGAAAAGAAGTTCAGAGAGAATGGATATTATAGAAAAAAACATACATTGATTTCAAATTTGGGGACACCAAAATAAGGTTGTTTTCTAATACCATTTTTCACAAACTTTTTGAAGTCCCCTCATTAATTCTAAGAAATTTTGCAGCATGTCCTCCCTGATAACGCGCCCCCACCACCAGCTTCACTACTTCCTAAGACCTTCAACCACAGAGAAGTATAGTCCAATCCAGTTCAGTTTTCAGCTGGGCTGATAAATGCTGGAGGCTAGGAACGGTGGAAGGTTGCACACCCTTGAAAATCACTGAATGTGTTCTGAATCCCAACGCCAAGATGACTGGTGAGGAAATGTCCAGCGTGGCAGCTGTGAGCTGAGGCAATGCAAGTGGAGAGGAGCTGTGGTAGGAGGCAATGTCTTCTCACTGTCCTCAGTCCCATTTCCCCAGAGGGCCAGCAGATGGCAATGTTGGTCCCTCCTTGCCTTTGAAGAGGGGCCTGCAGGCCCCAGGATACCAGTGCCTAGGACTGTACTTTCAATGTATTATTCCACTTAGAATCGGGACAGCCTTTCAAAGCAGGTGTTATTGCTCTCCGTACTTTAGACTTTGCTCAAGATCATACACCCAGTAAAGACAGGATTTTGGCTTTTAGTCACTGCTCCCCAGTTACGTTGCCAGGGTGCGCTTTTCTATCTACAGAGACAGAGAACCAAAGGAACCTGACCAGAGAAGTGTTCAGGTAGGACCAGTTTTAAAGGGGGTATCTCAGTTTGCAGATGGATGGGAGTTAGCAACAGCTGCCCTTTTGGCTGTAGTTAGTGGCCAGGGCATGACCAGGACTTGGGAAGGGGCAGGGTTATGATATTCGCCCATCCCACCCTTTCCCAAGAGAGGTAGAGTTAGGCTGAATTACCGCTCCGCATCAGCCACGCTCCTCACACAGCCAGGGAGTCAGCAAATGCGGGAAGAGGTACTGATGGTGGATGCCAAGCCTGGTGCAACTGCTAATGGGGTGGGTTCAGAAGAAAAGGATCCTGAGGACCAAAATTAGCCAGCACCTCACCTGGAAGCAACCTGGATGGCTTTCAAGTATTTTGTGGCTGCAAGATCTGCAGGAGCAAAAGCTACATAAACCTTCAAAGTGAGCCTCTTACTGGGAATTCGAACCCCTGTCTCCAGCCATCGTGACCAGCCTCTATGGCACACTTCCGGCAAGGTGGGACTTGTGAGATGCCAGTGTGTACAACACTGTCTGGTCCTGCTTCCATTCCTCAGGGCCACATAGGAAACTCAATTTTGTTTCCTGTCCTAAGCATAGGAGCTCTTTAAAGACCCCAAAGCGGTAGCCTTGGTCCCCATGTTTGTTTTTCCCAGGCTGAGAACTCCAGGCAGTTCATGTGTTCCCCAACCCCCAAATTTTGGAGTGCCTTGCTAACTTAACAAAATAAGCATTGCTTACTTTGCCCTTCTCTCTCAGTGCTGCAGCTGGTTCCATCCAATTGCAGGCCATTTTCATTTGCTCCCTTGGAAATGTACAGGTTACCTTCTTGGGCACTCAAAGCAGACCATGGCTCTACAGGCAAGACACTCAGGCACCAAGGCCTAAGGTAACTGCCACCTCTTCCCAAGCCCCTGAGTCCTGATCTTTCAAGCCATGCAACTGCTCCAGGCTGTCATTTTCAAGCCTCTTCCTTGGTCAGCTCCTGCTTTTTGTTGAATTGTGTCTCCTCCACCCCTTGCCCACATGACAAGCTGAACTTCTAACCCCCAGTACCTGAGTGTGACCATATTTTGAGGAAGGGCCTTTCCACAGCTGATCAAATTCAAGTGGGGTCATTAGGGCAGACCCCAGCCCAGTGTGACAGGCGTCACCGTGCAAAGGGAACATTGGGACATGGAGGCACACGCACAGGAAGGAGAGTGCATAAACACCCAGGGAAGATGGCCACTGCTGAGCCACGCCCTCATCATGGTCACTGAGCATCCTGCCCTCATAGCCCAGGAGGAACCTTGACCCAAAAGGAACCAGAAAAGGGAAATAATATTTCTGTTGTTTTAAACCCCCAATTTGTGGTGCAGTCACTCCTCAGTATCTGAAGAATGCTGTTCCCAGGGTTCCCTTATACAAAATGGCATAGCATTTGCAAAGAACCAACAGACGTCCTCACACGTACTTTAGGTCATCACCAGATGGCTCACAATACCCAGTACAAGTGCTTTGCAAACAGCTGTTGCATTGCTCTGTCTAGAGAATCATAACAAGAATGCTATAATATTCAGTATATATACAATTTCTCCATTTTTTCTTATCTGCAGTTGATTTAATCTACATGTATGGAACCCATTTCTGGAGGGTCGACTGTACTTTGTTATGACAGCCACCTTATTGTGATAGCCAAATGATATGTATTAACTAGCAACAGGAGGGCCAGGGTGGTAGCCTAGAGGCTAATGTCCTCGCCTAGCATAAGGGGGCCAGTTCGTGTTCCTGCTGCTCTACCTCCCATCCAGCTCCCTGCCTGTGGCCTGGGAAAGCAGTCGAGGACAGCCCAAAGCCTTGGGACCCTGCACCCATGTGGGAGACCTGGAAAAAGCTCCTGGTTCCTGGCTTCAGATCGGCTCAGCTGTGGCTATTGTGGCCATTTGGGGAGTAAACCAGTGAACTGAACATCTTTCCCTCTGTCTCTCCTTCTCTGTAAATCTGCTTTTCCAATAAAGAGCAATAAATATTTTAAAAATATATCCACCGGAATTCTGGAATAAATGTTAAAATGCCATTTTAACCCAAAACAGAACACAACATAATTCTCCTACATTGTTACTTAAAAAGTATTTGAAACCACTTATAGCATTTTAAAAAAAAATTTTAAAAGCAAGATGCAATGAAAGACATATACTGTTTGTGTCCCTGAAGAATTGTGTTGAAAGACCAATCCCTAGAACCTCAGAATATGATGGGATTCAGAAACAGGTCCTTTAAAGAGGTGATGCAGTTAAAAATAAGATTGCAGGGCCTTGCACGGTGGCCTAATGACTGAAGTCCTCGCCTTGTACGCGCAAGGATCCCACATGGGCGCGGTTCTAATCCCAGCGGCTCCACTTCCCATCCAGCTCCCTGCTTGTGGCCTGGGAAAGCAGTCGAGGACGGCCCAGGGCCTTGGGACCCTGCACTCATGTGGGAGACCTGGAAGAGCTCCTGGCTCCTGGCTTCGGATTGGGTCAGCACCGGCCGTTGTTCTCACTTGGGAAGTGAGTCAACGGATGGAAGGTCTTCCTCTCTGTCTCTCCTCCTCTCTGTATATATGACCTTCCAATAAAAAAGAAATAAATCTTTTAATAAAAGATCGCTAAAATGGGCCCGATGTGGTAGCCTAGTGGCTAAAGTTCTCATCTTGCATGCACCAGGATCCCATATGGGTGCCGGTCGTGTCCTGGTGGCCCTCCTTCCCATCCAGCTCCCTGCTTGTGTTCTGGGAAAACAGTCGAGGACGGCCCAAAGCCTTTGTGACCCTGCACCAGCATGGCAGACCCAGAAGAGGCTCCTGGCTCCTGCTTCGGATGGGCACAGCTGCGGCCGCTGTGGCCACTTGGGGAGTGAATCAATGGATGGGAGAGCTTCCTCTCTGTCTATCTGATTTTCTAATAAAAACAAAATAAATGTAAAAAAAAAAAATAAAAGATGGCTAATACAATGTGACTAATGTTGTTATGGGAAGAAAACATCAAGACACAGGTGTACTCCCAGGGAAGCCCCTGTGAGGACACGGAGAGAGGAAGCCATATGCCTGCAGCTCTGAATTGCAACCTCCATAACTGGGAGGGAATACATTTCTATTGTTTAAGCTGCCCAACGTACAACCCTTTGTCATAACGTCCCTTGCCCCCATATCCCAACCACCAACGAATCTGCTAGATGCTGCCTTGTAGAGATCTGTCAGATCTTCCTTTGCATAACTTCAGAGGGTCTTAACAACAAAGGCTGCTTGAGGATCAAGAGGATGGAGTCACAGGTCTGCGGACGACAGTGGAAAAGTTTGAGGTCCCAATGGCATCAGGAGACTCAGGACAGCCCCTGGAGCCTGAGACGTGAGCTACAGGGCCAGACACCCTGCTCTTCTGGTGTCACACTGGTGTAGCTCTTCGCAGACCTGGGTCTGGGCAAAGCTCTCAGAGCAGTCCGGTGCTTTAAACATCCGCAACAAAGATGCTGGTGCTGCCTCCAGTGCTGAGCACCATTCAGCACCAATCATAAGCAGGTATAGATCTCTCTTCCTCCCATGAAAACAGAGCACTGCTATCTTCTTGAATACCCTGGGCTCGGAAACCAGGGCCAATCAAGGTCTTGCCTCAAGTGAGATCATCAGCACGCAGCCTGTCCAGTCTGTCACCTGGCAGACCCTTCCTGGCTGGTAGGCCCTGTTGACAGTACCCACCTGGCCTCCTGGTTCCCCACAGGACTGGGCACACTCAGCGTGCATTCAGTCCAAATCGCTCGAGACACTTTGATCCTGGCAAAGAAGGCAGCTGTGAGTGGCACAAAGCCTCCTTCACTGCCAGGTTGAACTTGGCCAAGTTACAGTGGTGCCACGAGCAAGCCTACCAACAGCAGCCAACATTGTGGCAGCTGGCCTGCTCAAGCTCCAGTGCTGCTCCTTTCTCTCCAGGTGTTGTGCTGCTACCAGGCTCAGTGGTGCAAGGGTTAAGGTGACCCAGATAAGTACTAAGCAGATAAGAACCAAGTACTGTCTCCCTGGAGGCCACATTGTTTTACTCCTTTCAATCCTAGCACATTTAGTAAGTTGGGTACTTGCCGATTTGTATGCTTCATCCTGTCACTGGACACAAGGGGGCATGGGCCGTGAGCTCCAGCTGGAAAAGTGCCTGCCAAGGAGGTTGATTACCTGCTCATGCCAGGGAGAGGCCTTGCAGGCGCTGATGCTCTCTGACTCTTCTCAGAAGGCCTGTCCTCATCCACCACTTCAACCCTGTAGGCAAGAAAAGAAATGGCCTGAGTGGTCTTCCTGGTTGTCCAGGAGCTTGCTGGCCTTCTAAGGCTTTGCTTCCTGCGGTGGCTAAGTGGTCCAGCACTTCAAGGTCAAGGTCAGGAAGGTGACCCAGGCTGGGGAATCAGAAACTCCAGATGACGACAAGCAGTGTACTGAGGTAAACAGTGTACCCCAAAGTTAATGTCCCCAGGGAATCTGAGACTATGCCCTTATTTAGAAATATAACAGTGCCTTTTATCCACAGTCTGACTTTTGCGTAGTTTCAGCTAACTGTGGTCCAAAAATGTATGATGGAAAATTCCAAAAGTAAACAAACCCTAAGTTTTAAACCACGAGCCATGTGGAAGTTCATGCAGCAATCTTATGCGTCCTCACTCTCTCCCACCTGAGCAATGACTCATCCCTCTGTCCAAAGCATCTACAGTGCACATGTGCCCACCTCCTAGATATAACAACTGTGTTCCAGTCACCCTTATTTTTACCTAGTCATGACCAAAATTGGAAGGGCAGCAATGCCTAGGCGGTATCAGACCATAAAACCCTGTATATACAGACATGTGCTAATCCCCACTTGAGGCATCCTGAGAACATGGAGAGAATCATCTTTGCACAGGTAATGACGGATGACATCCTACCAGATTGAGGTGGGTCCTAAATCCAATGACTGGCGTCCTTTTGAGCAGGATTGCCAGCTGGGAGAGAGTCCCGGGGCAGTTCCTTTACTAGGAGCCCCAGAAGGACCCGACCCTGCCAACGCTTTGAGCTCAGCCTCCTGCTCTGCCCAACATCTCAAAAGCAGCCAGATCTGGTATTTTGAGCTTCCTTGTGACAGCAGCTACTGGAAGCTAACACGGCCATGGAGAACACAGCTGTCCCTGTGTCCGCTTTGTGCTGCCGCCACCCCGGGTCAGCGTCATCCAGTCAGTCTTTCTGATCTTCCAGCATGTTAAGCTTCATGCCTTTGCACTGGCTTGGCCCTCTGTCTGGAACATTTGTCTCTTCCTTGCTTTGCAGACCTCAGCTTGCTGTGCTACCTCATCACCGAGACCAATGCTCCCAAAATCCAACTCTCTAGTAGTTTCTTCTGTGTAATTTCTCCAATATTTTCCTCAGCCAATGACACTCCTTCCTCACTTGGCTGAAGTGTGATGACATCCTGATCAATTCCTTTTAAACTGCACGCATCATTTAGCGCCCATCTATAATGTCATAATCAACTCCCACAGGAATTTGTCTTCGTGTCTCTTGTCATGCTCCTAGGTGAGAGCAGAGAGTGGGGCAAGAAGCATAAAGATATTTTATGGGGCTGAGACTAACTCCAGAGGCTCCCCAGCTGATGGAAGGAAAGCTCCTGATGACGAGTCTGTGGAGCAGCTTTCTGTGGTGGGACAGAAGGAAGGATTGAGAAACAGCTCCTTGTTAGAACCCAGCGAAATGGGAGCATGAGCCACAGCTGCCTCAACACACACCACCACAGCCCGCCGGTGGCCCAGCTGCAGCCGAGCCCTCTGGGCACCTCTGGCTGCAGACAGCAGGCCCACCGTTCCCCCTTCTCTCACCAATGCCCACATTACCCCATGGCTGACAAGAGGCCTTATTCATTACCAGCCAAAAACTCCCCTTGGTGACACTTACCTCTTGGCGATAAATGGTGCCTGTGTGTCTTGGGTAGGGCTGTGAAAAAGGATGCAGAACAGTGACAGATTGGGCAGAGCCCGTGAACAAATGGAACCCTGACTATGGTGCCTCAGAAAGTCCCAGGCCTCTCTCCCATCCCCAGCACCTTTCCTGCCGTGATGGCAAGAGCTAGGCCTCTCTGTTTTCTGGAACATGTAGCTAAGACTCCCAGAAGGTCAGGCTAGGAGGACCAATGGGGTAGGTCCTTCAACTAATGCTTTCACCAGCCAGAAAAGACTGGAGTATTAAGGAAAGAGCAGCTGTCCCACAACATGGAGCCAGCTAGTGGCCCAGCCGGGACCCTGTACCATATACCTTACCCACTGCTCTTCTTGGCAGCTGACAGGACATAAGAGTGTTCTCGTGAGGCCGTCTTCCTCAACACACTGCTGGCAGCCTCTGATCTGGGGTGACACGGGATAGGGACACTGGTGGGGATCAAGCTAGATATGAGTACATGCTAAAGATGACTCAGGCTCTCCTGAGGCAGTCAAGGGGAAGGAAGTCAGGTTTGCACCTGCTCCAAGTACTAGTCAAGAGAAAGATAGCAACTAAAGAAGGTCAGCATGGGGTATACTCTTCTTGCCAACCCAGGAAAATTGGTGCTAGCATCTCGATGACCTACAGATGAAGAATTTGAGGCTGAGGAACATTAATGTCTTACCCCAGAACACACACAGGCTCAGTGGTGGGACAGAAATTCAATGCCAGGTAGCTCCAGGGCTCCTGATTCTTGGATGTATCTGCCCAAGCCTGGCAACCCATGGCATGGAGGGCTCTCCTCTTAGGAGGCTTCTAGGGTTGCCAAGGGAACTGCGGGGGTGGGGATAAGGTAACTGTGCTTCCTGAGCCAAAGATGAATCAGTAGATGTTTAGACTGCAGACACAGCAAGGGCAGATCTTTAGGTCTGCAGGGCCTACGTGCTGCCCTGGTCCCTTGGTACAGGGTGGCAGAGAGGCAAAGGGGAGAAACAAATGGTACTTGCATCTGTAGCAGTCCCAGGAGTAACAAGACTTGCCAGGGAAAGGGGGAGAGATGAGAAAGCAGGGCACCCATGGTGCCTGCGGGGGTGCCCAGAGCCCTGTTACCTCCGTTTCTGTTCATCTGCAGAGAAAGGGACCTCCTCTTCTTCAGCAACTCCTGATGCTGAGCTGCGTCTAACGTTGTAGGGCGCCCTGGTGGGGCAGGAGTGGGGTGGGGGAGGTGGTAAGGACACATTTTTCCCCACCACCCCCATGGTTCCAGGCCGAGCTGCCACTACCCCAGCAGCCTGACTTTCACCACCACCACTACACATGGGTGTTGCCACCCGCAGAACCAGCTCCACTCCCTCCCTGCTGAGATCCTGCTTCCCCAGAAAGAGGTCCCAGGCACTCCATGGCACGGATGATGCAGGGCATGTGATAGAAAGATGTGGCATAGCTGATATCTGCATATACATCTCATGTGTGTGTGCAAAGCTCCCCTCCCTCAGAACGCCAAGGGGAGGGCTTTGAGAGGCACCTCAAGAGGTAAGCCAGAAAAAACCCCAAAGGTTCCTATTTAAGAAGGGGCCAAGGTTCAGGCACAGGATGCCATCCTGACAGGCTACCCGGATCCATAGCATCCAGAGATCCTGAGGTCAAGAACGCAGCACAGGCGTCCCGGAAGCAGCCAGCCAGAGCCACGACTCCCTAACCCTTTTTGCAAACCGGTAGGGCTGCTTCTATAAGCTTCCTGCAGGCCCTCAGGTCACAAGGGTAGTCAGCATGGCCATCTGATGTTCTGGGCCTTGTCACTCCCTGCTGGGTCAGGCCAGGCCAGTCCTTGGCCCATGATGGGAGGGGAGTAGCCAGCTGACTCTGGTGTGCTTGTGCTCAGTGCTTGGGCTTGTTCCTTACAAGAAGGAACGAACTGGGGCTGGGATGCATACTCACAGCTTCTTGTAATCCTCGGTGGTCATCTTATAGCCAGAGGAGGGGGCACGGCCAGAGGCAGCAGAAGCTGCTTTCACCAGAGCAGCATCACTGGAGAGGCAAACAGTTTCAATAGGCTCACCTGCTGCTCTCAGCCTTCCAGGTCTGCCTGCACAGCTCAGCCTCTCTTCCCTGTGCTTTCAGCCCTGTCATGCACCGTGAGCTGTGCCACCCTGCGGCCATGAAGCAGACACAGCCAAACAACAAGGTGATGGTGTGGTGGGCTCCTGCCTGTGTCTTTGCTTCCCTTCTCCCAGCCCCTTCCCCGCCCCCCACCCAACATTTTTGTTGTGCTGGGTATGCAGGTTCAGCCTCATGCCAGGTGCTAACATAGTATACTGCCTGGGCCTTCTGGGAAAAAAGTCGGCTACGGTACATAGTTCAACGCCATCCACAAGTCCAGAGGGTCAGCTGTCAGACACAGGGGACTCTGGACACAGGCCCTCCCAGGTTCTTCTCTGTCTCAATGACCAGAGCGAGAGGATTGGCCCCAGAACTCACAAATCAACCTGAAGGCCTGCAGGCCCTGCCATGCAGCTGAACTGCATCCCACTGAATCTCATTTTTCCTGGATGGTCCTGCACTGGCCCATGCAGGAGGTGAGCTGCCACCTCCACCCCTTGACAGGCAAATTCCTTCATCTGTTAGGAGCCTGTGCTAGGTCTGCACACCTCTCCCCTGCCTGGCTGGACAGCACCCAATAGACACACCTTTTCGGAGCTCCGTTGGGCTTGGAGAAGTGCTGCTGGGGCTGGGATGAGCTGTCTATGGGCTTGGTGAACACTCCCCTAGAAGAGACCCCAGAAGATGCTTGTGAGGGGCTGAGACACAGGGGATGGGGGAACATGGAAAGGCAGACAGAGTCCTGTGATCACTTACCGGATGATGTAGCCAGTGGGTGCCCTTGTGTTTGGAAGCCTACCAAGGGAAGAGGTGGAAAGAGAAATGGGGCTGCATTGGAGGGCTCAGGTTGCCCTGCTTTATCCCATCTGCACTTACAGAAAAGGAGGTGGGTTGACAGTAGTCCAGGAACTCCCACGCCCTTAACCCAGCTGCTTGCCCTGCTCTGCCTGTTTTGTGCTTCCTGGGGGAAGTGCCCATGGCTGACTCCTTGGTGAGCAGGTCTAGCATGCCCTCATTGACGACAGTTATTCAGGGAGGTTGTGGTACACAGCTGGGTGTTTGCTCCAGAGGCAGTGGCTCCAAGGTTGGACTTCCCACGGCCTTGGTGAATCCCACAATTCCCCAAGACAAGCTCTATTCTCAGGGTTGAACTTGTTCAGCCTGGAAGATCCCTGCTTAAATGTCTTGGCAGGCAGAAGAAAGCTCAGAAGGGTCCAGCTGCTAGTTCCTTCCTACTCCTCTACAGCTTTCCCTCTTTTAGCCCCTTAGAGGTTCACATTGCAAGTCTTGAAGGAAGTTTGCCACCAAAGAATATGGCCCTGGCTTGCTTAGTTAGCTGGAAGGCATTAAGCACTGGGAGCAGGGGCTTCCTGTTTGGCAGCAATGGAGGTGGCTCAGAGGACTCACAGGGGAAGGCCAAGAACACCAAACACAGAGCTGTTGGCAAGTGATGGTCAGAGTTCTGATTTCTAGGCTTGGGGGCAGGCAGGCGATTTAGGGTATTTCAAGGAGTCTTCATTACAGTTGAGTGAGGTGAGAAGGACTCAGGATGGACAGTCCCTCTACCCAGCCATAGAAAAGTTTTAGGCTGGAACAGAAGATGTTGGGTCTAAGGGCCATGCGGAGCCCTGGCTAGTATTTGTCCATCTCCACAGACTCTGTCCTTAACAGGATATAGCCTCCTGCAGGTGACTGAGTTGCTGGAATGCTTGGAGGGAGTCCCAACAGAGAAAAGTCATGTCCCCCATTTTAGGTACATAGCAGAGGCTGACTGTGGCTCCTGGCTGGGTCCCCTGGAAGGCGCTATGTAGACCTCAAGGGAGCCCAGCTCTGGCCCTGACTCAGTGCCTTAGCAAGTGCTTTCCCAGTGCATCTCCAAGCAAAAGCCTAGCGTGACAAGGCACCTTCCCTTCGCTTCCCTTCCAGCTGCTGCCACCACCGCTACTGGCCCCCGAGAAGCCCTTGCACTGCACCTACCACCAACAGCCAACTGTTTGGAGCACAGACTAAAGTAGGATGTGCCTACAGTTTACAGTGCCCTAGACACTGGTACAGAAAAGTCTTTGAAATAAAAGAAGCCAGGCTCCTTTGGTCATCTGTCAAAGTCTGCTGTTCATTGGAGGACACCTGCAGCACACACATGAGACTTCCTGGCCTGCTGGTCACTGAGTGTGCTCAGCAGTCAAGAGTAACTGCAGAGGTGAATTCATGTGGAACTCTAAGCACCTTGGAGACCCTGTGGAGCGGGGGGAGGGGCTTTCAGAATAGTAGTCTTCCTCTCCATGATAATGTGGATCCCAGGTGAAGTCGGAGCTGTACAGACCCAGCAGGGAAGCCAGCTCTCCCCACGGCCACATGACATGACTAGCAGCCTGGACCTAGGCACTCCTATGCTCTTTTCCCCACCATTCCTGTGCATTTCAAACGATTCACGGCAGACGCTCCAAGCCCCTGTGCAACATGGCCTCCCTCCACGGCCTCCTGCTGCAAGAGAGATCCTGGATGCCAGCCACTGGACAGTACGTCTTACCTGGCCTTTGACATCTCCCCAGCTGATGAAAAGGAAGTGGCACGAGTCCGGCATGAGGGCAGCTCACTGGAACAAAATAGAGGTCCTTCAAGAATGGTTCCCAGGTTCCCTGCCACCTGCTACTCCATGGCTTCCCTCTTCCAGGGCGCCTTCCAAGTCTCTCCTTTCTCTTCTCTGATTCATCCCCACATGTGCATGGGCCACCCTGGGACCTATCCTCTGCATTCCGCAGCTGCTGTGTGAGCACATGGCCTAGCTGAGCACTGAGTGGTGGAAGTCCCTCAGCAGCCTTGGGTATGGCTGGGCCCTAGCCTCCCCATCATCCCCCCAGACCTCTTGGACTTACATGTTGCGACCCTCCGATTCATCGTGCTTGGTGATCCAGCTCTTGTCACCCTTCAGTGTAGTTCGCACTTTCATCTGCCTGAGCACGTTATTGCGTTCCTCCTCGCCTGGTGGCAGAGGCTTCCCTGGCAGGGCCAAGGTCAAGCAGCCTCAGAAAGTAAGCCCGAGGACCCTGATACCTCCCAACATGCTGCTCTCCCGTGGCCACCCAGACAGTGCCCGTGGCTCCCGTCAGGTAGGCCTACAAGGTGGCAGACACGCTTGAAGCCCGGGCCTCACCTTTTGTGTTGCCTCTGAGAGCTGAGATACTCATGGTCCTTATGTTGCAGATCCCTCCTCTGTGGTATCAACGGCGCTCCTAGCAACAAGGGCGGGCAAAGCTTGTCACTTCATGGAGTCACTATGTAGGTCCTGGCATGCCAAGACCAGGGACAAAAATTGGTGAAATCCTGGCCAGTGGAAAGGTGCCAGGGAACAAGCAGTCGCTGGATCTGGCCCAGCCAAGTCTCCACCCACATGTCTGCCCAGGGCTGCACACCCGGAGAACATGGAATTCATGGGCAGAACATGAACCTCCTGAAGAGTGCTAATGACCAGACTCTGGCCCCAAGGCCGGGGAGTAGAGGAAGCTGGTAACAGGGAAAGTGGGTGCTGGGGACTTGTTGTTCTGGAGTTAATTTGCATCCCTTAGAAACTGGCTAGGTCAGCTGAGCACTCGGAGCTGTCTCAGTTTCCTTGTTTATAAAATGGGACTATGGAAGTGCACCTTTCAGGGTGGCTGTGAGGACAGAATGTGTACTGAGCCTAGTACCACCTGGCACAGCAAAGCTCACCAGACCATGGAGCAGGGCCTTTCCATTTCCTTGTGCTGGGAGGGGGCTATTTGGCAGTCCCCAGTCAAGCAGAAGAATGGCCTGATGGTGTGTAGCTGATCTGTCTTGAAGTAAAGAGCAGGGGCCCGCTGGCATTTCCCAGGAGCCTTCTAGGAGCACACCAGGACATCATGGTAAGGGTGCCCATTGCTAGCCTGTACCACACCTGCCACGGGCTCTGCTATCCCCCCTGCCTCCACTTGGATCCATAGCTGGGGCTGATTAAAGAGAGATCATGCTGCTCTCCGAGGCTTACACAGCACCATCAAGGCCATCTCTGCAGAGGGACGGCTAGGGTGAGAGTGTGGGAGACAGAAGGCACAGGTTAGGAGTCTGCTCACTGACCAGCTCCTTAGACCTCAAAAGAAGAGCTGATGGCTCAGTGTGTGAGCAGGACCCTGAGTTGTGCTGACCTGGTCCCAGGGTGAGGCAGACTCTCTCTTCCAGGCCTTGCACCCCTGGGCCTGTCTGAGTCCAGCTGCTAGCTGTCAGGACCTGAACATCCTTCTGTAGTCAAGGGCACACTGGAATGGGCAGGGGAAGGGGTTGGGCATGAATGAAATTCCCGGTCACCAGCAACAGCTGGCTCTCCAATAAACTGCAACCTCCGAGTAGCCCAGGTGGCCTGAGGCCGCCATTCGCCAGGAAGACACCTCATCACTGTGGATAGGAGCCCCATCAGAGTCCTGCTGAGCACAGCTAATCCTATCCGTGATCCTATAGGGTCTTGTAGATCCAGCTGTGGCCTTGGCCACCTCTGGGGTGGCCCCATGTGTGGGGCACATGGAGAGAATTAGTGCCTGTGGGCCGACAGGAGTAGCCTGAGCACTCCCTGGGAGACCTCACAGGAGTCCCTCATCTGCTTTGTGCCTTGAAGCCTTGCCTGCAAGAAAGGATCCCCTACCATTTGGCCTTTAAGTTCCTTGTAATTTTGCTAAACCATACTTGGTGGTATAATTTATCTTGTACAAGCACATCAAAGATATATTCCTTTCCAAGGCCCTGGGCCTCAGGGACTGGAGCCATCCCCTTGCACACACGAACTGGGCAAGCAAGTGAAGTTTATCCATAGTTTGGGAAGCTAACTCCATCCTAGTAATGTATCAGTTTCCCCTGAGCATACCTAACACCCACATTCCATAGAAGCTCCCCGCCACATCAGAACCAAAGAAGCCATTTTTCAAATTAGGACTCATACCTACGTAGGATGGCAGAGGCAGAAGGGCCACCAGTAACTCCTGAGCCAAGGTGGGGTGGCACGTGCAAGAGCCCAGAGTGAACAAGAGCAAAGTTTGGTGGGAACATTTCTGGGATCCTGTAGAGAGCCCTACATAGATAGTAAGGACCCCCATGTTAAGAGCAAGGCTGCTATTTCCACATCAGCTCTTCGGCCTCAGGCATGGCTTTATTTCCAAAGTCAAATTGCATTTCTTCTCCCGCCTCCTTCCAGCATCAGTCAGCAGCCCCTAATTCCACTTGACTGCATCAGTCCGCATGCTTCACTCAGCTTGTCCGGGCTTCCCATTGCTTCTAAGACCAGAGACACACTGATCTGGTCCAGGCTCTGTTCTCCCTAGCCCCCTCAGTGTCAGCAAAAAGATTGTGTGCCTGAGACTCCTAGTACCTTTGTCAGTCCCCCCACCTTGAATGCCACCCCAGCTCTCCTACCTCTCCCTCAAGGCCCAGGCCAGCTAGCCACTACTGCTCCTATGGGTGCTCCCCCAGTCTAAGTCCCATAGCCAAGCACAGACCCAGGATCTGCTGACCCACACAGGACCTGCTGGTCCACCAGCCTTAGTGATCTACAAAGGTCTTGCTATGGATCACTCAGAAGGCAGTTTCCTGGGGGTTGGCGTAATAGCTCAATTGGCTAACCCCTGCTGCTCCACTTCCATCCAGCTCTCTGCTTGTGGCCTGGGAAAGCAGCAGAGGATGATGCAAGTCCTTGGGACCCTGCATCCATGTGAGAGACCTGGAAGAAGCTCTTGGCTCCTGGATTCAGATCAGCTCAGCTCCGGCCGTTGTGGTCACTTGGAAAGCAAACCAGTGGATGGATGATCTTTGTCTCTCCTTCTCTTCATAAATCTGATCTGCCTGATAAATGTTTTTTCAATAGTTGAGGGGAGGCAGGATTTCCTGAGTAGTGACCAGGTGCTGCTGGTGAGAAGCTTGGCGGAGGACAAGTCTCTAAAGGGTAAGCCCATGGTCAGCATTTCCTCCCCTCACTGCAATATGGCCTAGGGAAGAGCTCACAAGAGGAAAACACTGATGGGCCAAGGAGCATGCCAAGGCTGAGTATGAGGATGAAAGTCTGGCAACAATTTAATGCTTCAAGTCGTCTTTATGCACACATTTTCTTCCATCCATTCAAGCAGCAATCATGCAGCCCTTAACAAAGGACCATCGCCCTATAACTTGCTTTCACTGGCTTTTTGGGGGCAGTGATAAGTAGGATTGGAATGGACTTGGACAAAGCTTCCAGGGCCTGTGTATGAGCCTCTCTGAGTCTTCCTGTGCCCCTACCGGACTCTATCCAGCCTGAACAAAATCTCAGGTGCTAAAATGTTCACCTGGTCTTGATCCTTCAATGGTGCCTGAGAAATACAAGGGAATTGTCTTCTTCATGGAGCATCCTCTGTGCACAGTCCAGCTAGCAGGGCTCTGGAGCCTACACCTGTGATCCCTGTGCCGTGATAGCCCACTGCAGCCCAAGGCAACACTCTTAGGGATCAGAACCCTGGTGACCCTGATGGCCCTGGGAGCCCCACACAAAATGATGCACTCCCTGCAGCCAGCTCTGTTGCCTCCTTCTAAGTGGGACACTTGGTCTTAGCTGTCAATCCTTCCTCACCAGTGGAAAGATGCTTCAGACTCAGTCCAGCCACAGGGCACCTGGTTTGTGACCCTGAGCTCAGGAGAGAAGCCCACCCAGCCCCACAGTCCTCAAATTCTGTGATATCTTAGAGTTTGTGCCTGAGATTCAAGATTCAGAAAAAAGTTCTAGAGACAGCAGAAAGGCAACAACTGCTAGGATGCAGGAGAAAGTGGACAGCAAATGTTCCATTGGCAACTCCCGGTGGGAGTGGCACTAAGGACCTTTTGCTTGCAAAGTCTATGAGGCCAGCCTATGCTATTAGCCCTAATAAGCCAAAGAAGCTGCCCACTCTGAGAGGCAACACTGATGAGGCCTCTGTTCACGTCTCTGCCCCTTTTCCGTCAACAGCCTCACATGGTTATGACAACTTGCTTTGTGTGTCTAAGTCTTCTTGTCTGCCAGAATATTCCCAGACTAGAGCATGAACCTCTGCCTGGAATTGTCCACATTCCACACTCTGGGTGTCCTGATGCTGATGGTGTCTTCATCCCCCAGATGGCCCAAAGTGTGCATTTCTAACCAGGATGGCATCTCTGTGGCGCTGTCAGTGCCATGACCCCATTTCCACCTTGATTGGAAATGGTTCTTGGAGAACTGCCATATAACACCACTTAGGGCCTAGCCTGGCTGCCAGTTTACTTGGGTTTACCTGATGCCTTCCATCTAACATGAACTTTCTGGTATATCCCTGGAGCCTCATCATATGTGATTCAACCATACGGTATCCCTCCACGGGCCAACTCCAAGCAAAGGCAACATGAGCCTGTCACAGGGAAGCGCAGCACCTAGTCCTAGTCCTCCTGAGCGGGCCAAAGCACCTCAGGCACTGTGCAGACACCCCAGCCCACCCTCTGGGCCCTCCACCCTTTGTTTCTTTCTCTTCCATTACCCTGCAGGTGTCTCTTGAGGGCAGATGGGAGAGAGTTACCAAGCAGGGCAATTAGGGGAAGTGTCCCTGGCAGTCAGGGAGATGAGGACAGGCTTTCTCAAGGCTGAGATGGCTTCAGAATGCCAATGGGCGTGCTGTTTCCCCACCTTCCTCTGGCAACTGCAGCTCCTCAGGGCTGCCCATGAACCATTAAGGCAAGGGGCCCCTGGTCCTGAGAAGTTCTGTGAATTCAGTGAGGCTTCAAGGAGTCTGTGTTTCCAACCACAGCAAGCCTGGTGCCCTCCTAGGCTGTCAGTGAGTGGGATCAGAGCGAGAGCTGAGCCGGGAGTGGAGGAGCTGATGGACGAAGAGTGCCACATACTAGTGGGAGCAGCGAGGTCAGCAGATGATGATGCAGATGGTTGGCTGGTGCAAGGGGATGGAAACGGGAGTACTGTATTGCTCCACAAGGATTTGCTCTGTCTCCAGGGCCAAGCCAGAAGCAGTTTTTTGGAACTCTTGCATTGCCTGACTCCCCAAGGGAGGCACCTTCCAGATAAACCTGTAAATCCCACCACTCCAGGCTCAGGGACACAGCCTAATACTATTCTTGGTCACATGACACTGAATGTGAAAGTAAGAGAAAGCCACAGGAGACGGGGAAAGTGTGTCTGGGGATTAAGGCCAGGTGGCTCAAC